TTTTCGATCCCTTTCTTGCTTGTTTGCTTCTCGCTGAATGGGGTTTTCCGATCCGTGCGGGACGCTTTCCTTTTGTTTGTTGTCTATTAGGCCGCTAGGAAAATGTAGGAATCTTAATGGATTTCAGATCGTGAACTTTCCTCTTTCTGGTGATTAAATCGAGGGACTTTCGTTTTTGTGACGGGCAATGGTGCGTCTTGACCGGTTTGACCCTCCTATATTATGGGTTGGATGTAGTTTTTGCCTTTTCTCTGTGAATCTGAGCTTATTGGATGTACTGGATTTAGTAGATCTTGCGTTTCCCGTTATTTTCTCAGTCCAATCGCTTGTTTTGTTGCTTCGCTCGACTCCGACTTTCTGTACGGCCCATTAATTTTTGGTGTCCTTCGACATTTTCTCTCTTTAGTTTTCAAGGCCTCGCATCATTTTGGAAGATGGGGACTGAAATAAAAATAACCAAGTTTCAATCTTTATGTGTTGTGTAGTTCTCATGGACGATGATGCGCTGAACATGCGCAATTGGGGTTATTATGAACCCTTCAAAGGGGGTCATCTAGGTCTGCAGCTCATGTCAAGTATGACTGAACGAGACACCAAGCCATTTATGCCAGGCCGAGATCCTACCATGTTAGTTAGTCCAAATGGAAGCTTCCATCCCCGGGAATGTGTTGTGTCAGAATCCTCAATTCCAATTAACTATGTTAGAGACAGTTGGATCAGCCAGAGAGACAGGTTTCTCAATATGTTGCCCACAAATCCTAATTATTCCGTTCTTCCAGAGACATCAGGAGCTCCTTCATTGCAAATTATACAGCCACCCGAAACATCCAGAGATGATAGGGTGAATCAAGTTGAAGACCTTCCTGTTAAAAAGGAAGGTGGCCAATTGAAGAAAAGGCAGAGTGGGGGTGCCCCAAAGACTCCAAAAGCAAAAAAACCAAGGAAGCCAAAGGATAATAGCAATGCTTTGATTCAACGTGAGAAGCCAGCAAGGAAGGCTATGGAGGTTGTGATAAACGGAATTGATATGGACATTTCTGGTCTACCCATTCCTGTCTGCTCGTGTACTGGGGCTCCACAGCAGTGTTATCGATGGGGCTGTGGTGGTTGGCAATCAGCTTGTTGTACCACTAATGTGTCAATGTATCCATTGCCAATGAGCACTAAAAGGCGTGGTGCAAGGATAGCTGGACGGAAAATGAGTCAAGGTGCTTTTAAGAAGGTTTTGGAAAAACTTGCAGCTGAAGGATATAATTTTGCTAATCCTATTGATCTGAGGACTCACTGGGCTAGGCATGGCACAAACAAGTTTGTCACTATCAGGTAAAGAGGTGCTGCTTGGACACATCACACAAGGCATTTGTTCTGTTTCAGTTGTACATACACTTGTGTGACCTTTCACACATGTTGAGTACTTCAGTATCCGTGAATTTTCTTTTGTCATCCTTCTACCTTAAATTTGGACATGGGTTCTTTTGTTCCTTTCTTCTCTCGGCTTATGTGATAAGGGATGCCAGTGTTGTGTGGCACTGGGATTTATGTGGATGAGTTACTACTAGATAGACTATTTTTTTTTTTGGGACGATGCTCATTCACCCTTTAATTTAATTTTGTCAAGATGTTGCAATGCAATGATCTTTTATTCATTTTTGCTTCTAATGATAAGCAATTTTCTTTCCATCTATTCCCTAGCTTAAACCTTCATTAGTTATTAGTGTAATTTGAGCCTTTGGTTCAATAGGGTTCGTTCTTTCATGTCATCTTTTAATTCTATGCGTGGCAAAAGAAATTACTAGATTCTGTTATTGATCACTTGCCTGGGGTTTGGAACTACTCTGAATATATAAAATGCCAGCAAGGCTATCTTGGGAAATACTAATAATGCAGATGCATTATATGTATACATGTATGTTTTGGTGTTAGATGGAGGACATTAATTTGTTTGAGCCTAGCTGCTGTGGTCTCTAATTGCATTTATATTTCAGGGCTGCTTCATTTGGAAATAATTGATCTTCCTTTTTGAATTGCTCTTGCCGAAACAGTTCTGATTGAAACCTGAGATATTTGATTTGGCCAGTTATAGGCAATAATATTGATGAGTTTTGTAAAGAATGGATAGGATAAAATATGCATAATTAGTGTAGTCTCATGATTGAGCAATTGGATATCATTTAGTTGAGCAATTCGATCATTTCATATATTTGGATGAATCATTATGATGGTGCCATCAGTGGATGATGTGTGGTTATTGTTTGAGTGTGTGCTTCATGAGGCTTACTTGATTGGTTAGTTGCTAGCAGACCATTAATTGTACCGTGATTTCTATTCAAAGCTTACGAGAGGCGACATTGTAGAGATAAGCCCATCTTTGACTCCTTACCAATCCAGCCCCTCTGATAGAGTACCAGTCATTTCCTATTATTCCTCAAGGGGGATTCACCATCGGAAATTCGATTTCTTTGCAATGTTTTTTTTTTAATCTACCTTTTAATATGCAATGATCTGAGTAATTGCTAGTTACTTGTTTGCTATATGTACCTTCATGATTGGATCCAATGTCCCCTCCGTTTTTTTTTTGTGAAAAAAAAAGTATATACTATGCAATGGTCTGACTGGATTGGTTGATTCAGCTGGATGACAGGCATAACGTCTGGTTGATAATTTTGAGTACCAATTATCAATTTGTCAATATATCAATATTAATATACCAATGGGAAGACACTATTCATATGGTTGAATTTGGAACATGGTCTCAAGTGAAACGAAAATGTTTTCATATGTCAATATATCATATGGCATGATCAAGAATACTGATTGAGCAATGTTTTCCTCCCCTGAAAACTTAAAAGATCAAACGAAAATCTGGTTGTGTTACATTTTACTTTGGCACAGGGAAAGGTCAAGTATAGCCCTTGGACAGCCCGTCAATTATTTATAAATGGTTGGGCATAGTGTGTGTGCAGATATAGACAGCATAACCCTATTCAACTTTTACTATGAATTGAAATTTTTAGCTCTTCACGATTTTCTGGTGGGTTCTGCCTATGCATAAAATGATGGTGTTAATTAAAGAGATGCCTACACTGGTTACGTATATCTAAATCTGATATACAAGATAATGGGACTGAATAATGTCAGACATATTCTTTGGTAATGAACAGCACATCTTAACTGTAGGCGTCATCTACAAGTGTTTTGGTCTTTGATATCTTAGTTTTGTCTGGCAAATAATTTTTATGTCTCGGGTCAGGTCGGGGATTCGTCTTTTGATCGTCTTAAAAGGGGTGGAATTTGAAAGCACACGATTTTCTATTTAAAAGTAAGTAGTGCAATAAATAAAGAAAAATTGGATCATTTTTCACTTTAGTTGGAATGGATTTAATTGGAAATTAGAAATTAGTTTTTCTTTTCTTGAAAAAAATTTAAAATTTTTCGTATACAGGTTACAAATTATGAAAAATCAAGGCTACGAAGCTTACGCTTTTCTTTTCCCTGACCAAAGACAAAGAGCTTAATTATTATGTATTTTTCTTACTTTTGAGCGAATGTGTATGATGGATATGGGAGATTCCAATCTTGACGTTGAGTGCACTTCTAAGTGCAAACATAAAATAAAGTAAGTTGTAACTTTTCTTCCCTTCTAAATTGTCGTCACTTGGGTTTTTTTTTTTTCCAGTTTTTTGGAGGGGTTTCATTTTTTTAATTTAAATATTTATAATTTTGTTGAGGGGGTGGGGGACGATTAATAAATTGTGTCATTTTGGCTTGGGAAAATTAATGTGCAGCTAGAGATCCTTCTAGTTTTGTTTGATTTTGAATTAAATTTATGTAATTTATTTTGTTTTAATTACCCTCTTATAGTTTGATAAATTAAATATATTAGTCCTTGAAGATTAAAATTAGAATAAAACCTTCTCTTTGTTTTATTTTAATTATAGATATTTTCTTTCTATTTTTGAAACTTATATGAACCTCCCCTTATATAAATAACTACAAAACACAAGCAATCCTTTTATTTTTAAGATTTAATTTTCATCTATTCAATTGTTAGTTGATCATTAAATTATATATTGAATCAAAATATCCTCTTTTTAATTATGAATATTGTCTAAAAATCATTCAAATTACATAAAAAAATTAATGCACATATTTTTTTTGACCTTTTTAATTTATATTTAAATTTTTCCATTTTGTAAAAATATTTATTTAGTATTTAAAACACATTAAAAATCATAAATGGGTTAAAAATTAAAATAATATTTCAAACATGCAATTTAAAAAGTATGTTTTTAAAATAGAGGGGATGTCCTAGTAATTTTAACAAAATAAAAGGGAGATCATTATATTTTACTTTCAAAATTATTATTGAATTGTTAACTTAAAAAAAACACTTTTGAATTTTATAGAAGAATTATACATATATAGTTGATTCGTATCATGTAAATTCAATATTTAACTGCTAGTGATCCGGGTTGATCGTATTTTGATTACGCGTAGAAGAAGAACGAGAACAACAGAGCAAGAACTGGATCCAAATTTACAAATTCTCTACATATTAATTATAAATAACTTTTTTTTTTTGCCAAAATTAATTATAAATAACTGACGTGCCTACTTTTCGTTGTTTCTGCAGATTAGTTGAGAAGACCTTGTGTTATCCTCCACCAATTTTTTTCCCCCTTAGTAGAAAGAAAAGTAAAGCCGAATTAGGATGACTGCATTCTCATCCCTCCTTGTATGGTTTTGCTATTTGCTGGTTAAGTCTGTAATAAGGAGGAGGAAAAGCAAAGAGCACGGGAAGAGGAATGCATGTGCTTGTAATTAACAACGCATTATCTCCTCAATTTCAAGACCAAAGTGAACATCAATCTCTTGAACTGTAATTCATCGCATTATGCCGGAGACATGTCTTCCCAAGTTTTGGAAATAAAAAAGGCCAATGTACTAGGAGGAAAAAAAAAATATTGATTATATATCTAATCATCGTTTAACTCAAACAGTCACGACGGAAATTCCATGTCGGGAACATCCCTAACACCGACGGAGAAAACAAGAGCAGATGAAAAGACTCCCGATACTCTGCTACAGACATGAAATTGCAAGTCAGATCTTGGAACCTTTCTGTCTACGCTTTTCTGTACCTCCTCTTGAGCATATGAAACATGGATCCACGCATAGACATGGTACACTTAAAAACTAATTAAATCCGGAAGAACTTGCTTATGAACTGCTTGGTAGGGAACGATGCAATATGATTCTTCATAAGGGTTGGTTGAGAAAGTGGCTTTTGCTCCATCATGGAGCACCGTTTCATCATCAAAAACCTCCCACTTTTTTTGATCACCGTCTTCATACCATCTGATCCCTTGCGTTCATCCTTGCAGGCAATGGCATTCACATTGAACACCATGGCCTTGCCTTCATCCTTGTCACTCTTCAAGCTTTCCTTCTCATCGGCCCCGTTGATGATTCTCTCCAGATCTTGGATATACCCTTCAGGGAATCGCTCCATTTTGGGGCATTGAGAAGCGTTGAGCACGCCAATTTCCCTGCAGAAATCAAAGTATGCAGAAAGCTGGCCGCTTTGGATTGCTGCTTTCCGGAGAACCTTAAGCCCAACGCTAGCCTCCGTCTTCGCGCCAATATCATATGTCCTCAACAGAGCTCGGGCAATCCCTTTGCAGAATTTACTATACACGTCGAAAAGCTCCACGATAACGCAATCCATAGCTTCTAGAATAAGAGCCTTCTGCAAATTCAAGTACTCCGGTTTAATCTTAAGCAGCATGTCAATCAAATCTTGCATCGCCTGCAATTTCTCCAATTCTTCCATCAACGTGTCCTCTGTTTTTTTGCCCTGTTTGCTCTGTCTCTGAAATTCCATGGATATAAAGGCGGATTTCTGGTCCAGATACGCAAAATACGAACGTACAAACGCGTTGTGAGACCGAGCCCTGTCCGGGTTGGCATGCTCATCGCTGAAATTGGACAGATCGAAGGGCAATCGACCCATGTTTTGAATAACGGCAATATCACAACAATAAATGCCGTGCATGAGCATCAAGCCCTTGAGAGCGACGACCCAACTTCGAGTCTTTTGCATTCGCATGGCGAGAGCCCAGACGAGGGGCCTGAGGTATAGAGGAGAGGTGCGAATCCATTGGAACACGCGCTGGACGTTCTTGCAATCGATGCGATGTTGATCGTGGCTGGTGGCTTTGATGATGGCGGCTTCCAGATCGGGGTTGCGGAAGGAGGTGCGGCGAGACAGCTGAGCCACCCATACGCTGTTCCTGTCTTTTAGGGCTCCGGCGAGTCTCTGCCAGAGCCTCATTTCCTCCTCCGCCGTTCCTCTTACTTCCAGTCACACAACAACGCACCAATTTCACAAACCGCTTCTTTTTCCCCAACATTTTTATATCGTCCTCTTGATTTGAGATTAAATAAGTTTTTTAAGAGAAAACTATTTTTAGTAAGATATTTGCATATTTCTATGCTGAACAATCCTATGATAGGACTATGTGAATGTGAAATGAGTCGAACAGCCTTCGCTATCGGGCAAGATGGAGTGTTGGGAATCAACAAGGTCAAAGAATCTTTGACTTAAATTCTACCACTTCCAAAAATATGGAGGGCAACGAAACTTATTTTTATCAAACGTTTTCACTCTTAGTTCAGAATTTGTGGGTAATTTCAGGAGTAGGCCGAATTCTGAGAGTTGGGTAACGAGGTGGACTGGGTAAGCCACAGAAAACATATACTACGAGTTTGTTATCGGTGTGGCGTCACCAACAAGATTCGGTCCCAAACAAAGCAAAATATTATGGTCTTCCGAATTTGCTGACTATAATATTATGCGCAATTTTTTTTTTTGAATAAAGAGGAAATATCATTAATCCAAAAAGAACTGTACAAGGACGAGAGAGCAAATTACATCAGAGACCTAAGAAAATTACTTCAGTGTTCTAAGAATGGAAAAAGATTTCAAAGTATTTTTAACAAAAGCCCTAATCTAAGAAAGAAAAGAGTCAATAGTGAAAGTGTCATCAGTAAACAGCCTTCGGTTTCAGACCTATCTTGCAAGAGACGTCAAGGTGAGGGTTGCGAAGGCAATCAATGAACCACGAGGCAATATCCTTTCAATAGAATTCGATGCCCATCAGCTAGAAGAATTTTGTTCCAAACCGAGGCAGCAAACAAAAAATCTCTAAGGACATGAGTAATGTTTTCAACAGGTGAAACAGAGTGAGCAGCTTTGGTCCTGAGACATCCGTCTTTCTTACCTCTCGGAATTAGTAAGAAGCTTACCCTTGAGCATTAGCCAGATGAAAGTTCTAACTCTTTGAGCCATGGGGAGCTTCAAATCTTGACCAGGTCTTATTTGTTTGATTCCAATCAGTGAGTTTGCTAGCTCTATAGGCGGACTTGACGGTGAATTCCCCATTTGCAGTGAGGTTTTGAATCAGTAGGGTCGATGGACATATTCCTTATCTAAAGCATTATGTGGCAGCAGATGTTCAAACAAATTCCATTTCCATTGGGCAAGGGGGTCGATGAAATCGTAGATAAGTCTTTGAAAATCAACCTCTGAAAGTGGAGCAAAGGATAGATGCTTGAAGGGGTCCAGAATCACCTATCCAAAAGTCCGATCAAAATCTGATGGTTCTCGCATTACAGGGTTTCCAATTAACATTCAACATTGTGTCCTCCCAAATTTTTGAGATGTGTCGCTAGAGGTAAGAGCATTTACTCCTGCTAATATCCTGTGTGATAGGATGTTTGAGGTATTTTTCTCCAAGAACTTTCACCCAGAGGATGTCAGTCTGAGATACTGTCTTGAAAGCAAGCTTAGAGAGGAAAGCCTTGTTCTGAGCTTCTAGGGAGATAATGCGACAGCCACCATGAGTTATTGGTTGACAAAGATCCTTCCACTCAATCAAATTGATGCCCTTATGGTCATCTGAATACCCCATATGAATTTTCTGATAATTTTCTCAATTTTGGTGCAGCAAGAGAATGGGAGGGAAGTACTCTGCATGGGATAAATGGGGATGGAAAAAAGGACATAATTGGCAAGTGGAATCTGGCCTGCCAAGGAAAGAGATTTGGACTTCCAACCAGCAAGTTTCTGCTGTATCCATTCAAGGAGATACTTAAAAGTATGGGAAGATACTTTGCCAAGTATGAGAGGTACACTGAGATAGCGTCCAAGAAAGTCAGCACGCTGGAAGCCTAGTTGATTGCAAATGGCATTACAAGTAGAAAAATTAACATTTCTAGAGAAATAGACTTGAGTCTCGAATCTACTAACTCTTTGCCCAACAGAGCAACATAATTTCAATTTCATCTTTCAAACAACAATTAATTTCCCTTCTGAAAATCAACAAAACTTTTCCTTTAACAAAACATTACCTTTCTTCTACATGTGTTCTTATTAGTAATTTAAAAGGGAAAACATACTTTTTTAAATTAAAAGATGAGCTAAACGGTTATGACATTGATCAAAATGCGTATTAAATGTTCCTTCTTCAAGACAAAGCCTTCTAAAATATTGCCTTCATTTTAATGGTTTTAAAGGGCCAAAGTTTCAAAATAAAAAAAATTAAATGCAACCACAGTTAAGAATAAATGGTAAACAAATCAAAAGGAAATTTCAACTACAGCATTACAATTACATCATTTATGCATAATATTATCTACATTCTTATATGCATTATAAAATTGCCCATGACAATTTTACCTCAACAGCACAAGCAAAGCATAATTGATGGGACTGATGAATTAGCTTTTCTATTCTGACTAGATTTTCATGCTTCATTCATAAGGATGAGTCACTGTTTAGATACAATTAACATGTTTGAAAAATCTTTTCATGCTTAACATGTCTAAAAAATCTAATTCATTTAAACACCCCACAGCTATTTCTGCTTCAATAAATCATCTTTCATACTTACACAACTGTTAACGACAAACAATTGACCCTTCTTTGAATTAATTCTACAAATATTCATTTTCATTTCTTATAATTAATTGACTCTTCTTTTAATTATTAATCAGATATTATTTTTCCCACACTTGATAGAAGAACCATTTATTAATGTCAAAAAGTTCCTTTCTACTCCACATTAACTTCACTTCACTGAACAGGCCTTCAACTTTCATCCCTTCCATTTACTACATACATGACTATTTAGCATGATGCCGATGCCATACACTCATAATATCATATCATGTTCTGTCCAAAAACAACAGTGAAGGAGCATCAACTGAACCTCCCATAACATGCATTTCGTTTCATACAAATTGCTGATCTAATAGGCTCGTGGGTTAATGACTCCATTGCCAAAGGTACTAAATATTCCCACAACTAATATTACCAAATAATATTAGCTATCCATTAGATATAGTGTAATACGTTCTACTTACGACACAAATGTTTGAGCTGTGCTCAAGCGTATTAACCGATCCAAAGTGATCAAACTTAATGCCTTAGATAATATTGAACTCACGCTCATCATTGAGGACAAATATTGTTACTATAAACAGTGACAATATAACAATAATATTTTCTTCATATCAACACCACTATAAAAATATAACAACATCAAGAAATTAATTTACTATTCATGATCGAGTCAAAGAGACAGAGATCTTTCAAACTTTAATAATTTTACAATTTAAAGTTACAAATAACATAAATTATCCGTGCGACGCACGGAGCATAACATCTAGTTAAAAGTATGGGAAGATACTTTGCCAAGTATGAGAGGTACATTGAGATAGCGTCCAAGAAAGTCAGCACGCTGGAAGCCTAGTTGATTGCAAATGACATTACAAGAAGAAGAATTAACATTTCTAGAGAAATAGACTTGAGTCTCGAATCTACTAACTTTTTATCCAACAGAGCAAAATAATTTCAATGTTATATTTTAAATAGCAGGCACAAGCCTTATACAAATCCTTATAATCAGTGGGCTTCCATGACTTTGGCAAGCTTTTGGAATTTTAGCTGTTGGAGAGGGTTATAATAATAAATATAAGAATTTATATTTGAAAGAATAACATATAAGTTTTAAAAGAATTAATTAATTAAAATTAAATTTTAAGTGCCAAATTCTAAAAATTTTTAAGCTCGTTTCTCAATTTAGAACATAAATTTAAAATTTATTATTATGAAATTGTAAAATTGAAAGTCGAACTTATAAATTTTTAAAATTTGACACTTAAAATCTAATTTAAATTAATTGAAGACTTCTCTATCATTCTCCTTTTATATTTTAAGGCTGATGTATGTAATGTAAGTGAGAGTTTTGCTGTTTTCCTTTCATACAATATAACATGTGAGAAGAAATTTAAAGGCATTAACATATTAATATTTAACATAGCACCCATTATACTTGAAAGGCGCTTAAGTGACAAAGCATTTATTTTTGAATTGAAAATGTTAATTGGCCTAAATATGAGTGCACTAAAATCAATGTTTAGGAGGAGTTCTACATCAAATAAAATATAGAAATTCATGAATTTAAGTTTTAAATTTTTGAATTAATATGTGATGTCCTCCTAGTGCTTTTCATATATTTGTTCTCTCTCCTTTTTGGGGATAGCAAAAAATTAATTTGAAAAGCAGGGGAAAAAAAGGCAAGGTGAAATTTTTAGCTTGAAGCAATCTTTTGTCAAGAACTAAATTGAGACGGCAACATGGGAATTTTTTTTTTTTCTTGTCAACGGTGGCAAGATGGGGATTGATTGAAAATTTGGAAAGATTTTGGATCACTCAAGCTAAAGGAACAAAACAATTCTTGGTCAATACACATATCTAATGATTTCTGAGAATGGCAATAACAGAAAGAGCTTTAAATTTGCATCAAGACAATTGAATGAATTAGAGCCGTTTGTTTTCTATTTTTAAAAACATAAAAATTTAAAAATTTATTTAGTTAAGTGTTTTTTATTTACTTGTTTGTAAAATTGTTTTCATTTTTTTTTGTTTTTAAAAACAAAAAATAGAAACAACTTCTAGTTATTTTTATTTTATTTTTTTATTTTTAAAATATATCATATTTAATTATTAAAAATTAAAATTATATTGACTAATTTTTATCATAAATCACCATCATTATCCACCTATAATTATAACTATCAGTTTATTTTTTAATTCTAAAATTATTTTTAAATCAATATAACCAAACAAATTTTTATTTTATTTTTTAAAAAATAATTTTAAAATTGTATTACAAAATAGTTTTTAAAAATAAAAAATAAAAACAGAAACCTTTAGTTTCTGAAAACAACCCCTCTCTTTCCTTCTGAATGGATCAACTCCAAAAATATGGGCCTACGCAAAACTTGACAACAGCAAGGCTGCATTGTTTCCACCACAAATCCTTCATTTTGCGGAAGCTTACAACTATACGTTCATAGTACGTAAGTGCGACTGCCTGCGTACATGTATGTAAAGAGTGGCCCCTACTTTACGAACGTTACATCGAAAGAAGCGAACTGCTACTTCAAAAGCGTGAAAGACTAAAGTCATTCCATGACGCTATACGCTTTGCCTTTCGGCTTGTTTTGCTTTCTCTTTCCCCTCTTTTATTTCTAGTTTTTCCCAACTCTCAGTTTCTCATATTATCTATAACCTGTGATCCGCGTGGGCCATGCGTTCCTGTATTGCCAGCCACAATAGCACTGCCTCTTTGGGTTTCTGAAAAATCAAACAACAATGAAATGAAGCAGAAAAAAGGGTATGCATGAAATGAAATACTTATTAATACTTCTAAAATAACAAAAGCAGGGTATGTGGATTCAGATTGGAGGTTGAAAAGTGTAGATTTGTGAGGCCCAGAAGAAAAGCAGAAAGAAGGGGAGGTGTGATTGGGCGGGGGAGGGAGGAGAGGGACAAGGACCCATTCAAAAAGAAAGCGAAAGGTTGAAAATTGAAAGCACTCAAACAAACACAAAATCCCAATGGGAATCTTTCTCCTTCTTCTTCCTCTCCCACTGTGCGCCCCAAGCCATCCCTCCTCGCCACCTCCCTTCTTTTTATGCTCTCTTTCTCTTTTCCTAGCTTTTCACCCCCCTTCCTCTTCTCCCCCCCCCTCTCTCTGTCTTCTTCCTCACCACACTCACCGTTCTCTCTGCTTCCTGCTCGCTTTGTTCATGGGATTTTCATGCGATAATGTTTTAGTAAGTGTTCCTGATTTACGTCATTTTGCCTCACTACTCTCTCTCTCAAAAGTCATTCATTTTTCACAGTGGGTGGTTGCTGAGTGTGACAATGGTGACGCATTCTTCTGGGTTTGTTCTCCTTTTATGCTCAATGATGAGAGGTTTTGTGATACATGTTTAGCTCATTTTGTAGGACGAGGAACAAAGTGAAGTTCACTTGACAGATGAGACGGTAGCAACCCAGCAAAGGACTCTGGCTCTGATGGAAGTGCGTCATCATCAACAACAAGGGGTTGAAAGCGAAGCCGATTTCTGGCCAGTAGAACACCCTCTGGAGCCCAGAGATGAAGACCGTCCTGTGAAATGCCCAATGCCTCAATCTTCTGTCATCAACGTAAGCCTATGCCTCAATCTTCTCTTCACTACACATTAGCTTTGATTTTCGCCATGAGAAAATTGGCATTCGTGACATCATGTGATGTGATTGGAGAAAACCCACTTCTAAGTGTGTCCAAATCTGTTTCCTAAATAATTGACGTGTCTTGCTGCTAGCTAAATAATAACGGTAATAATTGACGTGTCTGAGCAAACCATTGGGACTTTTGGGTGACAGATATTTCCTTTACATTTGTTGGACTTCTACATCTTAAACTGGAGTCATGGAGGGTAGATTTTTTGGGGTGCTTTAGCATAAGAGAATCACAGGGATCAAGAGGGATGTCTTGTAAAGAATAGGGAATTACTATGCCTTGAAACCAAAAGAACATCAAGCACAAAAGAAATGTGCTATACATTCATTAGACTTATATAGGCTTGGCCCTCAAGGATACCATATTCTGGTTCCTTCTGAAAAAGCCAGGTCTTCCCAGCAGCCACTCAATGATTAGGTCTGCATGAAATTGATTAGTTTGTTATCACATTATTATGTAATAACAAACACATGACATGCAGAAAGATGTAATTATACGTGGTGTACGTTGAATTATATTAAAAACACATTAATCAGTACCTAATGACTTAAAGTATGTTTATACTGTTATCTAGTTCAGTCCAAAGTTCGGACATGGAAACTCAACTAAGTTGGGTTGTGCAGGAGGGAGGGGTGCAAGAAAAAAGGTTTGCAGAAAGCATAAGGAAGAGAGTGGAGGCATCTGCAGAAATGGCAGAAAGAGGGAGAAGAGAAGGCATGGAAGCCGACCCTCCAGATCTGGCTCGAGCCGTTCGAAAACGGCATCACACTCTCACACAAGAAGGAGAACTTGAGATCACTCCCTTCATTAGAACGCCACCACTCCCTCCATTACCCTCCCAGAACGTCACCGTCTTTCAAATGTTTCAGCAGGTCGACAAGTTTGACTCTTGAAATCAAGAAATCAGTTCACTGCCAACAATTTGCCAATGAGTCACTGAGATTGCATGACAGCCTCAGTAAAAGATATGATCAACATACAAGTAGCTAGAACAAGTATTCTTCCATCACTGTATACGTCTTCGATGTTTTCTGTTAAAATCAGACAATTTTATACTTTTAAAAAGCCATCAGATATGTTAAGAGACTGCTCAATTGATTCATTAACCGTTCCCACTTAGGATCGAGAGTGGACCGCTCAACAGTTTGAAGGTGCGAAAAGTTAATACAACATTGTGGGGTCATCAAAACACATCTATTTTTTAAAACCTTGTTTCACTCCTAGCAATGGCAAGCAAGAAACATATATTGAGAATTTCTACCAAGACATCTACTGAATGATTAAATGCTTTAACGCTCCAGTTCAATGTTAATTAGGATAGACTGAAAATTATGGGGATTAATCACATTTGTCCAATTCCATTGCAGCCTCACAGTCACTCCACTTGAGAGAGAAGCCTAGTGAGCAGTGAGCCAGTGACAATCACAAACACAATGTTAGCATCTCTCTTGTTTAGGGCCAAAAAAAAAAAAAGTTTACACCTCTCTCCATCAGAATTCAGAAAGAAAAAATGATTGCTTGCTATAACAGATAAAAAGGTTAAAAAATGTTGCAACATGCCCAATCTGACAAATGGCTAACCAACGACTGTAAAGAGAGCATTTACTGTGCACGTTTACTTTCTAGTGGGGAGTAGGGAATCATTCCAAGTTTAAGCCTGACCATTCCGTTTGATCTATCACTTTCTCCTCGTCCCCACTTTAGGTGTTTCTGGGTCCACCGCTTCGCTGTAAGCAAGAATATATATCCTATACTGATTTGGAACAATTTGTTTCATACATGGGAGTCCTAAGGGAGCACGACTCCGTTCATTCTACAAGGGAAATACCAAGGGCCACAGCCATGCCAAGTGTCAATGAAATTATATGGACTATCGTACTTCTCAATGTTGTTTTCTCACTGTTGTTCATCTCAGCCAGCACTCCCGCAATTGCAATATATATAAATCCTCCAGCGGTAAAACCCTGACAAAAAGGCCAGATTTTCATTGCCAAAATCAACACAAACCACAGCCGAAAGATTCCTAATGGAACAATCCTCACCTCAATTAGAGACGATTGTCCAGGATCTTTCCCCCAAAGCAAAGCCTGTAACAAAAACAGCAATTTGCTCTCATTTTATTTTCCCGTTTGGATATCTAAAAGAAAATGAACATTAGCTAAGGTAAGTGTTTGCATGGAAAAATCAGGGTAAAAGCCTTGTTAGTAAAAGTTTGAAACTTTGGAACGATGATGATCCATCTTTTGATCTCTCAATTATGAATTACTCTGATTTGAGCACATGAAAGTTGATTCCGTTTTCCTTTTTCCTGCTTGCATTTACATTATATGCACTTCTAACCATCAAAATCGCCATTATTCCATAATATCTAGACTACCAAGTGTCTTAACTACAAAGTAGTATGTTTAATAATATTGTACGTATTCACACTGCTTGCTTGCATGACATGTGTGCCTAGTGACCATTTAATGAAGACAACACTCACCGAAGCAGTTCCCACAAGTGCCACTAGTGCTGATAGAAAGTTGAAGAACAGAGCTTTTGACGTACTGAAACCAGACCGTATCAGAATGCCAAAATCACCTATCTGTGTATGGAACAACAACAAAAAGTATAAAATTTTGTTGGAAAAAAGAAAATGATAACTCGTGTAACTACATATGCCAAAACAAATTAAGATAATTCGCAAAAGTAACAAAATACTACGAGCAAAAGGCAATGTGTCACCACTAATTACATGTGGTGGAAACCCATAACGAAGGAAAAGTGGTTACAATTCAGAAGCGAATTTTCAAACAAAAAAAATTCCTCTACTGTCCTCTTATAAAAGATGACAAGGAACCTGATGAATCTGGAACTAAAAATCAAGCAAAAATGAGGTTAAAAGTAACTTCTCTAATATCCCAAAAAAAAAAAAAAGTAACTGCTCCAACGGTATAGTATATGATTAAAGAGACAGACAAGGTCAGTCTCCATGACAATGATGCAAGACTAACTCCGAAACAGTACAATATCAGTTTCTAATAAATGATATGCATACATAATTTCTTCAAGGAGTCTCAGTCCCTTTTTTTACCCCCACAATAATGGTATATGAGAATAAATATTACAGTTTCCTCAACTGAATCACAAGTTTCAAGGCTTTCCTGACACTAACATACATTTTTTCGCTAATTAGTGCCAACATTCCCAAATACAAGATCGAAAGTCAACAAATCTTTGCATTTTATTAAGCTGAGCCCAAGCTTCAAGAAGTAAGGAAAGCAGCAAAAAAGAGTTGCACTCCTTTACAGTATTGCATTAGGGATGCATGGAATCAGGAATATATAGCTCAGAAAAGGCGGCAATAAATATAGTAGTACAAGTATTACATATTACTATATAGTATGCCATATTCAAACAAAACATATTTCTGGGCCTTTTAGTCAAATCACGTAACAAAATTTTAATCAGGAATGAATAAATGGTTTTGTGCAATAAAATGCCTGATGTTCTAATATAAGCACCATATAATGCATACATATTGAAAAAAAGATGAACTGAACCTCTTGTGGAAGCTCATGTGCAAGTAAAAACAGGGTCCTAGACCAGCCCCCCACAGATCCATAGAGCAAGAATGCACTTCCTAGTGCCATTCCATCAGTGAAATTGTGCTGCAGTATTAAAACATGTTGCATGATTACATGGAGGTTCTCATTTCATTCAACCCAAACCTAAAATTACTTTTGTCGATCTAAATGGAAAAAAATACATTAGAGAGCAACCCATTTTGGGCTCGCCAATACTCAAATATAGATTAGTTAGGAGTACAGGATACCATATAATTTTAAAGGAAAAAATGTCAATCTTACTTACAACAGCATCAGAGAAAAGATTGAGATAACCGAACACAAGATTTGATGATTTAACTGGTGCCTTCTCATTCAAGGATTTCATATCATCTACAGAGCTAGTCTTGCTGCCATTATTTCTCTGTAAGGAAATATCAAATATTAGATGATTTTTTAAACTACAGAACAATAATCAGATACTATTATCAATCATGATATTCAATTCAATTCAATTTGATTCTCATTAAGAAAATATGATGTTCAGATTTTGGGCTCCATAATGCAAATATGTTAATAGCTAACATCCAATTCAAATCAATTTAATCGTCTAATCAAAATTCTCTTGTGCGTTTCTAATATCTGCATTGTATGACCAATGGAAACACCCAAATGGTGGATGTAGCTATCAAAAAGGAATTCAACAAGTGTGCTATAAAAACTCAACAGATGTCTTGTTCGTCCTTAACATTTGATGCCTAGGGCAATTTCTCCTCAACAATATATACTACTAAAAAATGCAACCAAAGCTTGACATCGACTCTGGTTCAAAATTAACCCAATGCATATTGACAACAGATATATAGCAGTGGTTCCAAACTAATTAACAAGTAGTGTTTGTCATACCTTTCTAAGCAAGGGTCTGGATTGAGTTGCATCATTGCCCATTGAAGAATCACGTAATGCCCCATCTGAATCTCTTCCCTCATCAAGCAATTGACCATCTTTTGCATCATCTTTCAATTTTTTCTTTTTGCTGTGGTGATGGTGGTGGTGTCCATTTGTCCATGAATTAGCTCCTTGACAGTTTTCCTCAACATACCTAACCACCTTCTCTACAAGAAGAAACAGCACAATTCCAGCTGCAAGAACCAAAAAAAAGAAAAAACAAGAAGTAATAATCACGGCTACCTGATCTGATCTGAATAAGAAAAAAGATTATCATGAATACGACCAGAGATGACTGAAAACGAATTTAAGATATAAGAATTAACAGACTAAATTTATGAAAAAGGAATTTTAAGATAAAATAATTTAAGCCATTGATGTACATTTTTATAATGAAAACTCTGAAAGGGCGTTATCACAAATTCCAACTAATAACCACCATTTCCATCAGTTCAGAATAAATTCTTTACATTCCAAATTATAGTCAGCAGTGTATATTAGTTTCAAACCAAATGTGAAATAATAAATCAACCTGCCATTCAATGAGAGAATTGCGTGACTAAATAATAGTCATGCAGACAGCATGCAGGCATTTAAAATTGTGTCATTGGAACAATATATGGGCTAAACATAGTAATATTTGGACAAGAAAATAAATTATCTCGAATATTATTTTGCACTTTTCCCTTGTTTGGCAAGACATCACTTGTGATGAGCTAAAAAATCCATGCCTAAGAAATAAACAGCAGTCCCAACCAATAATCGTTAAGTTAGAGTCTAGGTTTCAACGATAGAGATATTTAATATGTCCAAGTCAGAAAATATTGAAAGTTGGCGTAAAAATATAAATTGAGAGTAAACAAAATGTTAACCATTCCATGAAAAATCTCTTTCCTGGTGCTTAGGTTAGCATACAAGTTAATTAACTTAAAATTAAGTGGCATAAACTTCCAACAAATTGATCAGCAAAAGAAATAGAAGCCAGTAGTCCACCTATAAAGTAGTTTAATGACTAATAATGTTAGTAAGTGTGGGAATATTATGTCATTATTGTAAATAATTAGCATTTATTAGCATAATTAATTAGGCTTTATTAGTATTTATCAAATTTTATCTCTCTTAATGTGTATATATATAGGACCAATTTGTACATTAGAAATTATGAATGAGAAATACATTTTTCCTCTCTCCAAATTCCATATGGTATCAAAGCAAATGATCCAAAATATGTTTTAGGGTTTCTCCAGGCTATGGCTTATGTAAGGCATTCTATACGAAACACTAGGGCTGTGATGCAGGTGTTCTTCGAGACCATTGTGGCTCTCACCACCCCCCTAGGCATGTTTAGAAGGCTCCGATTGGCAAAACCCCCAAAGGATGTGGCCATCGCCAATGCATGTGGACCACACGTGCTGCCTGAAATTCATGTGCCAATCTTCTCTCGATGGCTCGTGGAGATGCATGCTACCCTTGTTCAGGCCGCGACATCACTTTCCAATAGCGACTCTCTATGTCCGGCACGATCACAGCATGTTCCACATCTGGGTACTCTTTCCTCACGTTTTGTTTACTCCTACAGTGTGTTTAAGAGTTTGTTTCAAGGACTCTGGTTGGTTCTCGGACTATGGCTTCTGATTATAGCCTACGAAGAAGCCTTTCCCTCATTTGAAGTGCTAGGAGTGGTGCTATGGATACTTCTATGCAGTGTTGTGCAAAATTTTTCTAGAACTGCACCTATGGCATTAATGGTGTCGATTGTGGATTCCAGGGCATCTGATCATATGATTAATTGTCATCAATTGTTCACCACTTACACCCCATGCGCTGGAAATGTTAGAGTGAAAATTGTAAACGGCTCCTTAGCATCGGTGGTTGGAAAAGAGAGTATCTGTATATCAAATTCTATTATTTTGGAATCTGTCCTCCATGTGCCAAAACTTGATTGCAATTTACTTTCAATCAATCAATTAGTCAGGCACTCAAATTATTTTGTTAAATTTCTCCCGTCACATTATGTGTTTCAGAATCTATCAACTGGTGAGACAATCGGCAATGTCAAGGAATACAAAGGGCTCTACTATTTAGAAGTCGTCACTCGAGTGGATAGCCCACCTATTGTTGGTAATTCTGTATCTACTTCTAAAGTTAATGATTTTATGTTATGACATAAAAGGATGGGTCATCCTAATTTTTATTACCTTTAGTGATTCTTTCCAATCTTATGCCCGAACTTGAATCATAGTGAAATCCAGTGTGAGGTGTGTGAACTTGCCAAACATCATCAAACTTCCTTTTCTAGAGCCAAATGCATATCTATCAAACCATTCACAGTGACTAGTGGGGACCATCTCGCATTCCAAACTGTACTCAAACAAAATGGTTCATCTTCTTCATTGATGACCATACTCATGTTTGTTGGATTTATGATGCAACCCTACTGTTCAGCAAGTGAAAATGCAGAAATAATAGCAGAAAAACAACCAACAAATTCAAGGAAATGCTAAGGTTTGCTATTAATACTTCTAAAATGCCAAATCAGTGTTACAAAGCTCTTCATTGATTCAGAACAAACCCTATTCCCTATTACAATCAAAATACTCAAACAACAACTAAGGAACTAGAACATTGCAATGCTCAATGAACATGCTCTCTGGTTTTCGAGAGCCAATCTCTCCTCTCACCAAAATACCCAAAATATGACTTCCCCCACACCACAAAACCATCGACTACTAAAAACCCAAAAGTAGTTTGCACATTCCCCAACCTTACTTTCTAATAAATAGGCCTAGACTCATATAGTCAACTCTTAAGTCTATCCATCTTACTCCTTAAGAGTAAGGATAGTAAGGTCAATGTTCTGACTCCCATAATGTAGTTTGCTCTTTTCATGTTTCTTCTTAAACTTCCTCTTATAGGTCTGTGCTGAAAAAGGGAATCTATCAGTTTACCTTTTGAAAAACAAGTCTGAAGTTGCATCCACATTCATGAGTTTCTTCACCATGATCAAAAACCAGTTCAACACTAGCATCTAAGTTTTACACATTTTCAATGGTACTGAATACTTCAACCAATCTTTGAGTAATTTTCTCCAAATGCATGGTATTGTCCATACAAGTACGTATGCCTGCACACCCCAACAAAATGAGGTTACAGAAAGGAAAAATAGACATATTCTTAAAGTTGCAAGAGCACTCTTGTTCACTTGCAATGTGCCAAAGTTTTACTGGGGAGATGCCATTTTAACTGCGACCTATCTCATCAACTGAATGCCCAGTCGAATCTTAGCCTTTGAAACCCCTCTCCAAAAATTGCAAAGTGTTTTTCCTACATTCCACATTGAAACCAAACTTCCGCTTTGTGTGTTCGGGTACACAACCTTTGTTCATATCTACTAAAGTGGTAAACTTGAACCTTGAGCTATTAAGTGCATCTTTCTTGGCTATTTTCCTACTCAAAGAGGATATAAATGTTTTGATCCTATTTCTAAACGCATTCTTGTAAGCCTTGATGTTACCTTCCATGAAGAAACTCCTTTTTATTCCAATTCTTCAATTTAGGGAGAGAATATAGTTGAATCTCAAACTTGGGAATCAGAACCTAACATAAAATATGTACTTCTTGAGTCATTACCTCCTTTACCAGGACCATCACGCTTACATCCGTCCAACATCCCACCTTCACGAACGTCTTCTCTTATGCCAAAGTTTGAGGAAAACAGGGGGAGATGTGGAAAGATTACAAAAAGGAGAGTTTTTGGTTTACACTCGAAAGAAGAAAACAAAAGATAGTGAGCATCTTGTACCTAAGGCACCAAGAGAGTTAGAACCAAAGGTAGTTCTTGAAGTTAAAGTACCAAGGATTGATCCATCCAGTGACCCAGATGACTCAGAACAAAGAAGTGAATCTACTGATCTTGATCTAACTATTGCTCTCCAAAAACAACCTCGGTCTTGTACTTTGCATCCAATTCAAAAGCATGTATCCCACAAGGCTCTCTCTCTTAGTTACCGAGCCTTCATCACTAATTAGGATAAAATTGTTATTCCTAACAATATCCAAGAGGCACTAGAAATACCAGAATGGAAAAATACAGCTATGGAGGAAATGAGAGCTTTGAAGAAAAATGGAGCACAGGAAATTGTTGAAAGACCTAGAGGTAAAAAACTCGTTAGTTGCAAGTGGGTCTTTACCCCAAAGTATAAGGATGATAGCACATTTGACAAGTTAAAGGCACGGTTAGTAGCAAAAAGTTTCACCTAGATATATGGTATAGATTACAAAGAAACGTTTGCACTAGTGGCGAAATTGAACACTATCAGAATTCTATTGTCAGTGGCAACTAACCTTGAATGGCATTTTCACCAACTAGATATCAAGAATGCTTTTCTAAATGGAGAATTGAAAGAAAAAGTCTGCATGACTCTACCTCTTGGGTTTGACAGAGGCAGAAATGAATAGAGTATGTCAACTGAAGAAGTCCCTATATGGCTTGAAACAGCCACCTAAAGCATGGTTTGACAAATTATCAAAGGTCCTGAACTCATAAGGCTACAAACAAGGATTGTCAGATCATACAATGTTTATTACGATTGAGGGAGCAAAGAAGTGCATCCTCATCGTGTATGTTGATAATATAATTCTTACAGGAGATCATGTTGACAAAGATAGCAAGGATAAAAACTGTCCTTCGTAAGGTATTTGAAGTCAATGATCATGGGAACTCGAAATATTTTCTCAAGATGGAAGTTGCTAGGTCAAAACGAGGCATATATGTATCTCAGAGGAAGTATACACTTGATCTTCTCAGGGAAATTGACATGTTAGGTTGTAAACCTAAGGAAACTCCTATTGTGGTCTCAAAAAGGAAGAAGTCTGAGAAAAGTAGCACAGAGGAATCAAAAGGAGAAGATAACTCTAATGATGAAGTTGAAGTAGAAGAAGACAAGGACAAAGAAGAAACCATTGATAAAGACAATTATCAGATTGGTTGGGAAACTAATTTATCTATCCCATACGAGGCCAGATATTACTTTTGGTGTCAGTGTAGCGAGTCAATATATGTGTGATCCAAGGAGGAGACACCTAGAAGCTGTATGTAGAATTCTCATTTACCTTAAAGGTACACCTAGTAAAGGATTGTTATTCAAGAAGCATGATCAGAGAACAATTGAGATCTACACAAATGCAGACTGGGAGGGGACCTATGGAGACAGGAGATCCACCTCTGGCTATTGTTCATTTGTGTAGGGAAACTTAGTGACTTGGAAAAGTCAAATGCAAAGAATTGTATGCAAAAGCAGTGTTGAATCAGAATTGAGAGCATTAGCTCAAGGAATTATAGAAGAACTATGGATAAAAAGGGTCATGAAAGAAATACAAGACGAAGTTGATCCATCAATGAAATTGTATTGTGATAACAAGGCTGCTATAAGCACGGCATTGAATCCTGTACATCGCGAGAGATCTAAACATGTTAAAGCAAATAGACATTTTATCAGAGAGAAAGTAGGAGGCATTATATGTCAGACACATCTGCCTACAAAGTTACAAACTGCAGATGTGCTAACCAAAGGACTACCTAAGCATGCATTTGAGAGTTGTATTAGCAAATAGGACATGATTAGCATCTATGGTCTAACCAGAGGGGGAGTGTGGGAATATTATGTCATTATTGTAAATAATTAGCATTTATTAGTATCATCAATTAGGTTTTATTAGTATTTATCAAATTTTATCTCTCTTTATGTGCATATATATGACTAGTTTGTATATTAGAAATTATGAACATTTTTCCTCTCTTAAAATTCCATAGTAAGACACCACCATAGCAGCACCACTAACCTAGGATGGATATTCCTGTAGAAAGATCTGCGAAAGAATGAGAATGCCCATGTCCAATACCAGCATCGTGATCATGGTCATGGTCCACATGATTGCCATGTGAATGGGAATGCTCACCACCTGCATGAAAAAAAATCATGTTTATTCTCACAAAATATTACATATGCTCCATTCAAAGATTGACAACATTTTTTGAGGCTGTAAGACTATAGGTTTTCAACACTTGCGAAGCATCAAATATAACTGTGAGCCCTCCTAAGTTCATTACTAATCAAAGAAAAAGCACAAACACATAAAACACAGCTGCATTAGACCCATATTTGACTGCTGGTGAAACATGGAATTCCCATTTAATTTGATCACTTTCCTTTCTTATTAGCATGACTTTTAGGAGTATGCTCTCCCTCACATCCTCAAGTATCAAAGCCCAATCAGTTCAACTCACAATGTAGATGAGCCTCTTGTAGATGGGGTTGATGTAGGATAGCGAGTGCCATATAGGATGGGATTGAGACATGCAAAACAGGCTCTCCCCTCTTATCAACCTGGTCCATGAGTGTGAGAGAGAGAGAGAGAGAGAGAGAGAGAGAGAGGACTTCTCTTTCACATCAAAACATCTCATATAAGAGGAAACAGGGGCAGAGGGAGAGCTGAATTCCTCCTATCAATGTGTGTGAAGTATAAGAATTTAATTGTGGCCATGCATCATGATAAATGTATGTACCAACACAACCCAAATAAGAGAGATTAGAATGCACTTTGAGTCTATGACTCTCTGCTGTGAAGCTATTTATTTTTGTTAGAAAAGAAACCCGGCATGAATCCATTTATATAAGAAAAGAAATTAATTGACAAATGCATCAAAAATGAAGATGGGCTGCATTTCATACCAAAAGCATGAGGTAATTGGTGAAGGAAAGCATCCCCCAACATAGCGCCCGCCTGCAAAAGGCATATTTGATAAGCATAGTGAAATCAACGCAATCAAGAAAGAATCTAAAACCCACAAACAGGCGATAAAGGAACTAAAAGAAACCTGACCCCAAATAAAGCCAATGAATCAACAACTGTCTTTGATGGTTTTCCTTGCACTGCAAATGAATAACTTTCAACATTCAGGTTTGCAAAGTACAAACAGATATTGAAAAAAGAATAACTTGTGGAGAAATTGAATGCAATGACAAGCACATTACTTACCAAAAATCAGAGGCAAGATAATCAGGCAAATAAGGGAAGCCATGCTAACCAAAAATGAACAGCCCAATGCACTCAGCCAAAGCCCTAAATTTGCATTAAAAAGTAAGTTAAATTTGAATTAACCGAACAATAAATAAAATATCACATCTTATGATATTGGATGCCATCACTTGATACAAAGCAACAAGCAGGTATCACACATGATGTTCAAATGTCTTGCAGAAAGTTTACAGGCTCAGTGGGGTACAAGAGCATGTATATTGAAGAAGAGTTGGGACAAAAAATTATATGTCTTAAGTTGTATCAAACTGGTTGTGACACTGTCGGACAAGAAAAGCCTCCTGCATCATCTTCTGCTACGAAGGCTACAATTCAACAAGCAAGATCTTTGCCGATCCTGAAACTCCATGTAATACGAGGCAAACAGTGTCCCCATCTTACATGTGAAACTTATCCTCTAACCCACCCAACATGAAAGCTTTCCATGACAATCAAAGCTTCACTTACAGCCAGATATTTGACAATCTAATACAAGTTGCATAGCGAAATACTTAATCGCGTATTCCTGAAGTCACAACACTCTTCGACACACTAAACCACTGAAAGTTAGAGTCAGACCAGTTTGCTTCTCAGATTTGAACTCCTGCTATCTTAGGATCAAGTTATTCTCGTTTCATACAATGTTCAGTGAACAGATGAACGCCTCAAATCAATATACACTACCTATTGTCCAACACAAAAACACCCGAACTAGAATACCAAACTACCAAAATGGCCAATCAAATCGTATCGGCCGGAATCGGTAAATACCTAAACCCGATAGTTCAGAGCCACCACCGAGCCGATGACCGCGGTGGTCATGGCCGTGTTCATGGTCGCATGCGAAGCCGAATCCATACAATTTCATATCCTCCTCCTCCGCTAATTCCTCCGGAAGCTTGGTTCCAGCTACTAGTTTTTCCTCTTGATGATGGCGGAGACGACCACGCCCACACTGATGGTGATTATGATGATGATCGTGGGAATCAAGGGCCTGCGATGTGCAGGACCCAGAATGACGACCCTCGTGTCCGATTCCCAGATTCAAGCAAAACCCGAGAACCAAAACCGTAAGCAATGCCCACTGAATCAGTTTTCTGCATGATGCCATGAAATCAGTACGCCCCCACAGAACCCAACTGGATTCTGAGGAAAAAAGTGCTTGAGCGGAAGGTAATCCTCTGGGCTATGGAAGTGTAGGAGGTGAGCTAAGAACGACTTTTACAAGTGCCTTGGATGGTGATGTAGCAGACTGATAGTAAGAAGAGAATAATAATGGCGACTATGATTCCGAAGGTTACGACATCCATATTCAGCGAAGGGTTGGATATTTGAAGAAATTAGTTTATTTTTATTTCGATGGGAAAATTTCCCATTTCTAAAATACTCTGTTCTCCATTCTTTCATCGAAGCCAAAGCAAGAGGAGCCGATCATGTCTCAAAATCTCAATCTCAATGTAATTAACTTGTCATCATAAGAAAGAAGAAACCTTATCATCAACCATCACTGCTTCCTTCCTTCCTTCACCCTCCATGTGCAGTCCCATCACCAACTACCGAATGCCAATTATTTCACTTTCCAAACAACTTTTGGAAATTGGACCTTTGATCCCGCTTGTTTTACCTGGTCCCCCCCCCCAAAAAAAAACCTTTTCATTGGCTAGTTAAACAAACGATATTTGGCCTGATTTTCTCATTAATAATATTCACTATACGAATTTTAACCAGCCGCAATATTTATAAACCATAAAGACTTTGACTTTTCAAACTCTATATCATATAGGAATCCGCGTGTGGAAAATTCGTGCATGCTATTACCCTGGCTGTAGCACCAATCTTAACATTATATAAAAACCCAGATCGGACTGATTGATCAATGACTCGATCTTTTTTTCAGCTTGAGTTTCCACCTAAATCAGCCATCCATTGACCAGGTATGACCCAGCTAACCCGATTCAGTCAGTAATTTTTTTATTTTTTTTATTTTTTAATTATAAAAACTAAATAAAAAGTAAAAAATTTAGCTTGAAAATTTAAAAAGCGATGCAATGGAGAATAAGGCAATTAAATTAAATTTCACTCTCTATAGTGTGAACTTTAAATAAAAGGCCTTAATTGTAACTTCAAACTTAAAAGATTTAATATTTTTTAAGTTAACTGTACCTTAATTGTTTTAATTTTTTATTATTTGTTGTTATTCATTTGTCGTATTGTTGCTTAGCATTTATAAATTATGACTATAATTGTTGATGATTTTAGTATTAGTGACGATTAGTTTTGGACTTTTTAATGATTGAAAGGCTAAATTATAATTGTAAAAATGAATATTTAAAAAATTATATTTTATTATTGTTAGACTTTTGGGTGATTATAATTCTATAATTATTGTTATATTTGTATCTTGTATTAAAGATTAATCTTGGATTTGGTTAAATATTTTCATAATTAATGTCTTTTTATTTAAATTATATTATTTTAATTATGATCGGTTTGCCCTCTGAGTTGACCCTTGGTTCAACCCAAGTTGAACCACTAACTCGTAACCTATTAGCTTGACCGTTTCAATTACCAGTCCAGTTTTTAGTATCTTGAATTTTAGTATAGAATTTCAAGTAACAAAATTTTACTCCCAGGTGTATTATTGTTAACTAATTTATATTTTTAAAGAAAAGTTGGTTAAAATTAAAATTTTTATATATTTTACATGTAATAAAATATAACATTTGATTTATTCAAAATATTTTCATTATTATTTAATAAAGTAAGAATGTAATAAATAAATGTGTGTGTGACAATCATTCAATATTTTAAACAAAACTTCTAACAAATGACTTATATCATAGTCTGGATAGAGTATTGTTTAAAAATAGCAGTATGTTTTTATTATTGATCTTTTTATAAGGCGGAGACAACGTTTACTATTGATTTTTTATATTTAAACATTTAAGTTGATATAATATAAGTCATTATTATAAACTCTTTAGTAATAATAATTGTAACATCTCAATTTAAATTTTAATAGTTAATTTAGATTAATAAAAATTTAAAAAAATATTTAGAGGTAAGAAAATTAGTAGGAGATGATTATTAAATCTAATTTAGGATATAATTTTAAATTAAAATAAAAAAATTAATTAAAAATTAATTAATTAAAAAATATATTAAATTATTATTATTATTATTATAAAAAAAGAATAAGAAGAAAAGGTATGAGAAAGAGGAAGGAAAGAAAGAAGAAAACAAGAGCGGCTTTCGGTGCAATGATTATGTATATAATAATAATAAAAAAAAGGGGAGAGAGAGGAAGAAGAAATAATAAAAAAATGTGGGACCTATAGATTTTTTTTATAAAAACCCACCCCCTTCCTTCTTTCTTCACTTCTTCATTTCTTCATTCTTCCCTGTACGCGACCTGAGGTAGAGAAAGCGTCTAGTTTCGCTGGTGCTGGGTTTTAAGGTAAGAGTTTTTAATAGGATATTTAGGGTGTGATTTCAAGCTTTTCAAGACTAAGTATGTGTTCTAAAAATTTTTCTTAGTCATCTTTTCTCTTTGATTTCTGATTTTGTAGTGGTAGAAAAATTTAAATTTGGAAGAGGGATGAATTTATGTTGAATAAATATAGTTTTTGAGGTTGTTAGTAGTATAATAAATATTTTAGAGTATAAATTGTTAGTGATCTTTGAATTTGTGGCTTAAGAATCAAACTCTAAACTAGATTTTTATTAAATTTAAAAATATATGTTAATTTATTGAGGTTTAGATGATTATTGGGATGAAAATTGAATTATTATGGCTATAGGATTATAATTCTAAGCTAGAGACTCAATTTTTAATTTTTGGATATTTTAGGTGCGAATTTATAAATAAAAAGAAAATTTTGATAATAGAAATTAGTTTAGAAGTTGATTTTTAGATTATTAATATTTATTGATGACTAAAAGAGGAGTTAAAATTTTACTTGATAGTATTGACTCTAGATTTGTATTAAGATTGAGATTAGAAATTATGTTATATTTTTAATTCTATTATTAGAATTATTTTATTAGTTTCAATTATTGAAACTAATATTTATAAATAATATGTTATTTGTAAATTGTATTATTGGTGAAGATTGTGGTGGGAGAGAAATTGTAAGGAATAATTTATTTAAAAAGCCACGAAGTAACCATGCTTTTAATTTTGATTAGTGTTACTTCATGTTAATTGGGTAATTATTGAAAAAATTATGAATTTTGTAATATTATATAATTGTGCAATATTATTATGAATTGTTTGATTATTGTGGGAGGTGTTGGGAGACTTGCTACTGTTGTTATATTTATGTGTCATGTGGTACGCCCCTATTGGAGCTTAATAGGTGGCTTGTAAGGGTTTGGGCTAATCTACCTTTAGCCGAATAATTTAGCACCGAGTGAGGGCTACGGCTTGAGGTTAATGGAGGGATATAAGGATGGTTATTTGTGTGTATTATAATATTTCTTATATTTTGTTGGAATTATATTATTTTTGGTTCCCACTTAACAAGCACACACTTAACTATTTGTACACACTATCATAAATTGGTATTGGTTACTGGGACTTTTAAGTCTCATTATGTGGTTAACAATTTTCAGGAGAAGAGCCACGAGTGACACGTGGAGGAGTCCCAAAGGCTTAGTGGCATAGATCCACTATCTCTTTTGGGTATTTGATTTATGATTTATAATGTTTTATATTGCCAATATTAAGGCTTTTATTTATTGATAATTATATGAATATATAAATGTAATTATGCCTTTCAAACTATTTATATTTTGGTATACTTTGGATGACTGTAATTTTAATATTTGATTTACTTTGGATCTATTAAAATGGCATGATTATGAGACCAAATAACTGGCTTGTTTTGAAAATTGACTAAATTATTTATTTTACTTGTTGGGAGTATAAGGATGGACAAATGTGATTTAACCTAATGGCATGTGGGAGGTAAAAATTTATCTGAAATGTTGTATTGTGCAAGTTTAAGTCAATTATAAAATATTTTTATATTGAATTTATTGATATAAAATGTGTTGGGTGGCTGTAACCCAACTATGGTTGAGTTAAATTATTTAAAAAAAATTTGGTGTGTTACAATAATAATGTTAAAATGTTAATGGCTACAAATACTTTAATTATTGGACCAATATTAAACTACAACACATATTAAGACAGGGACCGAGAAAATAAGTAAAAGAGAGATAATTGTTGGCAAAAAAAAAGTAAGAGAGAGATAAACGGAGACCTGTTTTTGAAGGAAGCTAGTAGAAATTAGTTTACAGTGTTTAGTGAGTGATCCTCATTTTGAATGCGCATAATATCGATTCATGATTTTGTAAGACCTTTCTTTGTAATGAAGCCCTTGTAGCCGTCGACCACACTAACTGTCTTGAACAATGCGATCATTTCAAGGCCTACAAGGCCAATATAACCTTCCCTTCCTAGCCTATAAAATGTTGCTATCAAAATTCTCCCCATTTTTGAGTTTATCGTTGCTTGATACTCCACATTTTTGTACACCCCACTTGTTACTATCTATTCCATCAATTCTCGAGTACTTTTTTATATGCGCAGTCAAATAAAAAAAAAATGCAAAAAGAACATAAAATATAACACTGAAAAGTTGGCCAAAAAAAATCTAAAAACAAGCGCTAGTGACAAGATTTACACGTGGCTTAATAATTTGAATAAATAATTTGAATAGGAACAGTATAAATTCAGTTTGCTTATAAATTATAATAGTTAGGCACGAGTGGAGTGTGTTCAAGCATACATTAGATTAATGAAAAGAAGCAAAGCAATATTGGCTATAGAATGAAAAGCAATTTAAAGCTTACATATGCCTTCATTAATTGGAATGAGTACTTTTACTGATATTGATGATGGAGTGGGGAAGTGAATAATGATAAATGTTTTTTTAAAATGAAATGAAATCTTGAATCTTGAATTTAATCAAAAAGTGAAAGTCGACAAACTGAAACTTTTGCCAAACATATTTCATTGATCAAATTGCATCAGCAAATATATATAAATACTTAATGTAATGTTAATTTAACCTTATTAATTGCAGGCTAGTGTTTTTTTTAGAATTATTCGACAATACAATTTATTAGGAATTTAATATTTTATATCAACAATATATAGCAAGGCACTTATGAATTGTAGATTAGATTGTATATAGCTTAATTTCTAGACTTGATAGTTGATATTATATGCAAAAGCTATATATGAATAACTAATATGACTGAATAATAAAGAAGGGCTAAATAGTAAAAGCAAGGCGAAGAGTAACATGAGCACATGAGAGAAGCTAAGTCAAAAGTGGGAGAGTGGATGTGACCAAAAAGAATAGGAGTACCTGGAGAACATCACCAATGTTGATGATGAAGGAGTGAGGAAAAGGAGTAATAGGAACATAGATGCCGTGGTGTTTGATTTGAAGGCTCTTCATATCGTCAACTTAAAGAAGGAAGGTAAAGGCAGTGCTATCGATATAGCCATCGATGCTAATCTCATCCTACGCCTGAGGACATAGAGGATAGTAATTTATTCTCATTGATTGCCCTCTATCCCTAAATGACCCCTTCAAGTCCTCCTCCTTCATCTCTAGTGCATCTGTCATCCCTCCTAAAATCTTTGTCACCACTTCTTCACTTCCACATTATATTCCTCTAGATCCTCTCTACATGTATCACATTAAATACTCCTCTCCATGTCTATTATACCATGTCATGTAAGTAATCGTGCTCACATACCTGAATGGCAGGGGAATATTGGGGAATATGTGCTTATTTCTCAAGTGCGATGGAAGTATGAAGACATAGAACACATATACCCAATTCAGGTTCTGCTGCTTCAACACTTTGAACATTGGACCAAACCCCTCCATCTCTCTTACTCTCTGCCACAGCTTGTTCTTCTCTTGCATCAAAAGATTGAATGGTTCTCTCACCCCTCTCTTCATCTTCTTTACCAGTTCCTTGCTCACTCCATGATTAACCACTTGTCATGTCACAATAATCCATACATGCACAATACATGAACCCCCATAAAATTAAGATGAAAGTTGTCTGATAATTAATTAATTACTTAGAAAAAGCCCTATTATTGGGGAGCAAGGTGTAATCTGCATAACTCAACTACGTTCATATAATCGTCATGAGATAACAACTCAGAGAGGTCGATGATAGGGACCTGGGGTAAAGAGGGTGTATTGCAAGTGAGAGAGTCAATATCTGCAAGAATGTATCTATTCAGAACTCTGCTTAATGCCTCCTTTTCTAGGGCTTTCAGGTAAGCCATTTTCATCACCTTGTTGCCCTCTGCTACTTCCATGGATGTTTTGTTTACTCGTTCTCTTTTAGACCCATCTTTTGTATATGCATGTCTGTGTGTAGATTCATCTACTAATTCTCTATTATGTGTGGAGGCATTATTGGAATCCATTGACAAAGGGATTATTAAAAGTAAATAAGCACATTATGAAGATCTCGAGAACATGTGGCTGAGCTTGAGAGGCAGCTACTTAATTTCTAGTGTCAAATTTTCTTATTTCCATTAAATTCCAATTAGGTACCACCAAACTTGCTGCCATGTCCTCTAGATTCTTTATTTCATTTTAGTTGTCATCTTGCTTGATCGTTTCCGATACATGCCATTATGAAATGGATTTTTTTCTTTGGAGTGTTCATCTTAATAGAGTTTTAATTTAGATATAACGCTATGTTTTTAAATGAAGTTATTAATTATACTTTATTTTAAGGGGAGCATGGCAGAGACATGAGACTATCTGGTAAATATTAAATGTGGCTTGATGATGACAACCTTATATATATATATCCATCCAACATAGCTGTTACTGTTACTATATGCTCCTCTAGGCTGACTCGGAGAAGTACTCTACTCAATCCTAATGGGTTAGGCTTTCGTCTTAATTGGAATACCAAGCAAGTGCTCTGATTTGGATCCAATTTTAAGAGCGCCAACTATGAGAGTAATAGAACTCTTTGGCTTAGTTATGCCTTGTTAGGTTGTCCAAGTGTGAGTGGACTAGTTACAAGGTCTTGTTATTGAACTTCGAGTTACTTAAGGAGTTACTAGTTTTTTCTGTGATAATCAAAGTGCTATTTATTTGACTAAAAATGACAAGCATCACTCAAAGACTAAGCACATAGACATCAGACATCACTTTATTAGAGATATTGTTATAATTGGTGAAATTGTTGTGAAGAAAATTCATACATCTCAAAATCTAGCAAACATGTTTCCTGATGTTAAGTTCGAGCATTGCTTGCACTTAGTCAGTATTCGCAGCACTTGATTACTCTTTGGGGCTACCTGGCAATTATAAACAATACTAAATTTAAGTCAAAGGAAAGTTTGTTGAGATTTTAACTTAAATCTCTATAATCCTCTATAATTATTTTTATATATTATCTTGGTGTAAATTTATCATATCTCTATTTGATATTTTTAGAAGATATTTATTATTATCCAAGATAATATTTTTAGTTGATAAGAAACTTTTTATATATTTTGTCTCTATCTCCCACAGAAGAAACAATTATTGTAATTCTCATTTTCTATAATGAAATTACTCGCTCATTGCTCGTAGGTTTTTTTGTACATCAAATTGAGGGGTTTTCCCACATTATATTTCTTGTGTCATATTTTATCACTTTCTTTAACTTCTCTATAATTTTCAATTATTTTATCTCGTTTACTTCTGCTAACTGTTTGTGGCCTTCTTAACAAGTGGTATCAGAGACTAGTTTCACCTGGGACCTGTAAGACTGTTAATGCTCATACGGTTGAAGCCTAAAATGGGACTGGCCTTGCTCTAGTAGGGACTTGTGTGCACCAAACCGTGTGAAGCCTAAAAAACTAGGCTGGCCTTAAAAAATAAGAAATTGATGTTTGGGGCATCTTTGATTTGGGGAGCTTATGGACTCATACTTACAGGGGAGATTGTTAGGTTACCAAGTGTGAATTGACTAAAAATGATGTGGGAAGTCCCATATTAGATAAAGTTAGACTTAGTAACTAATATATAATAAAAAGGAAGGATTCATGAACTGGAACCTTGAAATTTTAAATTAAAATATGGCATCCTTCCATTACTCTTGTCTGTCTCTCTTCTATCTTATTTGGAAGAAGAGCAAGTTTTTATGTTTTAGCTAACGGAATAGGACAAGTGTTAGGTGCAACATAAATATCAAAAGGTGGACATAAATAGCTTTTTTTAAGGAAAACTTAATCAAATAGATTTCGTGAGATTACACACACATGAAAATTAAAATATTAAAAAATAGAAGTAGATAAAAAGAGTGAATCTAATGTTCTTTAATTGGAGTTTAGTGTCTGGTATAAAGGGACCACTACTTTAAAAAATAGGAATAAAATAATTAAAAGCACTATAAGTTTCCCCTCACAATGGTTTGTATTTATTTGCATGTCATGAAGCAAAGCCTCCAGCCTCTCCTCTTATTATTTGTTATTGTTAGTCTCATAGCTAATTAATTGGGTATTGAGAGTGGAAAAGCCCATATATTGAAAGTGACAGAACTAATAGGTTAAATCTTAGTCTGAATGATGCTCGAAAACACTGTCTTTAAGAGCTATTCTGCTATACTAAGCTGATCACGTAGCAGCTCTCCAAAATTAAACAGACTCTTTTTGCAAAATGAACAAGAACAAAAGAATGAAAATTCTTAGAATAAACTCAAATAACACCAAGAATGAGATGAAGGAGGAGAAAAACCCCATCTTAAAAGTTCATCCAGAACATGTGGTAAGCACTACTTTTTATAGGCAAAGGCCTCAAAACACTGAGTAATAAAACTAATATAATCACAATTAAAAGTCAGTTATGAAAAATAAAGAGATTAAATAAATATATTTAAGTAGAGGTTATAATAATTAATATTAATTTATTATAATTTATTTTAAGATGCTAGAGATATTTTACATATAATATCCAACAGAAAGTGGGTTTATTATTTTTCCCACCCCCGATCGCGTCAAGACTCAAGAGGATCAGCATTTTCGACCATTAACCACGGCCCAACTTGCCATTATTAATAATTGAGCCAGTTGGTCAAAAATAAAAAAGAACACCTGAGCTAAAAGCTAAGAATCTGTTATGTTTTTAATTCAACATGCTTGGTTGAGCAATTCAAAACAGAAACTAGCTTTCTCTAAAAGCACGTTTCAGAAAGTGTCAATTTTTTTTTTTTTTTTGCAGTAGATAAAGTATCATAGAGTTATACTTGATATTTCCATGGCTTTTGATGAAATCGACAAACCATATGCCTCGCTAGGTTGATTGGGTTGAATAGTATTTGCTTATTCTTGATACATACAAGTTCACACACACGCACACACTACACACGAGTATTGTTTGCTTATTCTAATTAACCACAGGCACATCCTCATGGTGTTTTTTAGGCAATACATATATAGCGTATATAAATCTAACCGCTAGCACGCATCTCAGCCTAGTCTGGATTAATTGTTTTGGATCCTTATGGTATCAAGATAAGACTTTCCAACGAGCTCACGCGAGACAAAACCTTTGAAAAATTCAGTCACACCAATTCTTCTACATAGAGGCAGTCTTTCTGGAGTGACAAGGCTGGGTGCTGGACTTAAATCTCCATCCAACTTGGGACTGTAAAATGTGGCCATAGAGATCCTCTCTTTCTTTGAGCTCACTGTTGCTCTATGTTCTATGCTCTTGTAAATCCCATTCGTCACAACCTGCGTCGCAATTCATCACCTCAGTGTCTACATATGCTTGTGTGTACAGTGGACGTACTTTCCTTCAATTTCTCGCACAAATGAATCCAACAACAATTTGCCAGATTTGTTAGTTGTTATCATTCAGCCCTTAAGTAGATATCTGAGCCGACTTGGATGTTATACTAATAAAAGGCTGAAGTTATTATTTTAAGAAGAAAAATATAAATTACCTCCAACATATCTCCAATGTTGACAATGAAAGCATTAGGGAGAAAAGTAACAGGGATCCATGAGCCATCCTTTCTGATCTGAAGACCTTGGTCTGCTTCATTGACTTGGAGGAGAATGGTGAGACCACTCCCATCAGAATGAGGACTGAGCCCGTTTACAAGCTCTGGTTCGGGGCATGGCGGATAATAGTTCATCCTCATCGATTGCCACCCTTCTTCGAATAATTCTCTCATTTCTTTTTCCTCCAGTCCAAGTGCTTCCACCATTGCCCCTAGTATATTTAATGCTAGCTTTCTCATTTCTGCACTGTATGCCTCTAAGTCATCCCTGCAGTTATTTGTCACTCTCCATATTATCACACTATCCGATTTTTTAGTGTCAATCATTGTTTGACTGATTTGTCCGTGATAATTTAATTAGTATCATTATTCTTCTATTCTTCTCCAAGTATAATCATGCCATTCAAAAGTACGACTAGCTACTTGGTAGGCCGGCATCAAACTAATTATTGTCACTTCCATGCTAACTTCAGTTATTAGCTAGATGTTTTACGTTTCAACCGTACGTGGCCTCCATTTGTGCCCAAACAAACGCTGGCCTCCATAGCACAAACTCTTCTTTCAGGTGAGGAATGAAAGACAATTACTAATCAAGAAAATATCATTTTTCATACTTCATTTTTTGATGATTTAATTTTGATGTATTTCTAATATGAGCTTCGTATGTAGAGATGCAAAAATATCAGCACATGGCATTAATGATTTCGCTTTTATGAAGTGAATGATGCATGTTACCTCCACCAACCGATTGCACTAGTTGCTGCAGCTATAAGACGTAGCACTCATAAGATCTTAAACTTGTATGTAGCAAAACTATATACATTTAGATTGTGGGTTTTCCTCTCCTTCAATGGCTTGAGCGACTTACAAAAGTTAAGATCAAATCAATATGTAGTTATGGATTTTAAAGGTAACATAACACACGTAATAAATTTAATTTGAGGTAATTAAAGATTAGAGAGTAAAGCTAAGGTACTTAATTACTTGAAGGAAGAGGAAGATTGGGAAAGAGGTGGGGCTTTCTGAGAGAAGGAGGATGAGTGAGCATGTAGAACATGTCAGCCCAGTCCAGCTTCTGCTCCTCACTGACCACAAAGCCCTGACCAAACCCTTCCACATCTTCTGCAGTCTGCCAAAATTTCTTCTTCTGTTCCATTGGTAGATTCAAGAATTCTCGGATTCCGTTCTTCACTCTCTCCACCAGAGACTCTTCCACTCCATGATTTATGACCTGTATATATGTATTGATTATATACATATATTTACATTACGCATGTTCAGTGGAAAGACACACACACACTCATGCATGATCGATGTTGAGGGAAGAAGTACAAGAGAGACCTGGAAGAAACCCCAGTGTTGGCATGCGGAGTGGAATTTGTGGAGCTCAGAGGCCTTCAAATCAGGAGATAAATCAGAGAAGTCGATTATGGGAACTTGAACTGAGAAGTTGACGGTGGATGAGAATGGATCTGCATCTTCTTGCTGTGCATCATGATGAGAACGCACATATCTTGGAGGAACTCTGCTTAAGGACTCCTTTGCCAACTCCTGAACTGAAGGCACCGGAAGCGAGCTTCCTAATTTCATTATTTCTCTCCTCAACTTAATCGGCCGCTATCTCAATCTTCCCTTTCCTTATATGTGTGTGTGTGTGTGTGTGTGTGTGTGTTAAGGTACCAGGAGAGGAAGGAACTTTTGTTTTCGAATTTTCATGATCGATGGCGGATGCGAGGCTGCGAGCGAGCACAGAATGTAATGTGAGTTGGCGCCTTAGCGGTGATCATTTAGTTCACGCAATGCAGATTTTTTCTTTTTTTCTTTTCTTTTTTTTTTTTTGTGGACACCTGAAAATTAGTTCAGATGAAATGTCTCGTTGCTATGAATTTCAGCAAGTGTTCGGTGTTTTCTGGCAAATGTGATGTCATGTCGGCTCCAGGAAAAATCACGTTATAATCCGAAATATTGGAAAATATAATAGAAGACTAAGTCGGTCTTTATCTAGAACAAAAAGATAGCGATAATGCGGCTCTTCTCTTTGGGGTCAGGATCGAGAAGAGTGGATAGGCCAAGATGGAGAGGCCTTGGATGTCCCACGACAGAGCATGCATGAGCGCAAGGGCAATTGTCCCCATTTTGGGTCTTCTTTCTCAAGAGACCATTGGGCCAGACTATGGTTTTGACACTTGGAGTTGGGTCCATATGGACTACGACCAGCTGAAGAAATTAGCTGAAAAGAATAAAGCTGTGAATGGAAATTTTAACCCCAAAAAAAAAAAATTGTGAATGGAAAGTGATAAGTTGATTTGTGAATTACAGATGGGTGTGACAAAGACAGCACGAGGCAGTGGTGAAAGGATTCCTAACATTATTATGAGAGTATGCGTGAAGTTTGACCGAGTGTGGTTCATGTGCTGGAAAAGCACTTAATTTGTTTGCTATGTGTCTTTATCACAAACGTGACTTGCCTGCTTCATTATCTTGTTTCCGGTTTTAAAAACTCAAATAAAGCAAGCACGTTTTTTAGTTTGTGGTTCTATGATTCATTTAGGGAGAATGGTTGGCAAAATTCTGTTGGACTCCAGTTTTGCCATATTTTCATGGCCAAGAAAAAGGGCTGGTTCACTCAGCGCTCCAGAAATTAATATTTTCGTTCTAGAATATTCACGTGTTCTAGTTTATGAGCACTAGAATCGGTAATTTAAGCAGGCCGAATTTATTTAGATGACTTGACTAAGCCTAAATTTATAAAAGTCTGAATAGCTAAGCTCCAGTCATAATTTTTTTGGGCCCTTGGTGCATTCATCCTGTCCCAAATACACCAAATTCTTGAATTACTTTTAAATTATTTTTTCAAAAAATTTCAGTTTTTATTTGAAACTTATATTTTATTTTATAAAATACTTTAAAAATTAGAAGACTCAAATTTTTTTTTAAAAAAATTGGTGGGTCTTAAAGTTAAAAAAATATGAAAATATATTTTAAATATTATTTCAAGAAAATTTATGAATTAAAAATAATAAAAATATAACAATATGGACATTTTTTATTTTTAAAGAAAATATCTCTAATAATATATTCAAATATTTCCTCTGTTAAAAAATGTAAGGCATTTTTAACCAAATCTCACCCCCATAAAGTAATTATCTACTTTCAAACTAACTCTATCTTTTTATATTTACATTTATTAAACACCCTACAATGAATATAAAGTCATTCATCAACAGGGGTACGTTTAAAAAAAGACAATGATTACACCTCAAACGACTAAAAATGCCTTACATTTTTTAATATCTAACTTTTTAAAAAATGTATTATATTTTTAAATGGAGGGAGTATATGATATATTCGTATAAAATGAATTAAAATATAAATGATTAATTAATATTTAAAATATATTTTTAAAAAATAAAATTCTGTTCGAGTATCCAAGCCCTAAAAAATTTTACTATGTTACTAAATTCGGCTCTGAATTTTCTTTGGCTTATTATGATGACCTAGTGGGCATCAATATGGTCTCGATCCTGGTTCAGTCGGTCGTTATCAGTGGTCCTATCCCAATTAACATTAACATTTCAGTCTTAATTGTCGCCTATGGTCTCGATAAATGTCAGCTAAAAGCAGAGATGTTGAAGTCAAGAAGGTAGCGAAGTTGATGAACGAATGTGATGGAAAAGAGAAGCTTTTATTGAGATTTAAAATAATATAAATTTAAAAAAATTAAAATTATAAAAGAATTGAGGTAGGATTCTAAATTCACATGTTTTTAATTACTAAAACAATAAACTTTGCTCATATCCAAATTCAAATGCAAATCTACGTGCATTCAAATATAATATTATGTTATGTTTGAATACATATAAATTTGAATTTGGCTTAAATTTTTTATTTAGACATTTAAAAATTTATGAATTTGGATTTTATCCAAATCCAAAATTTATTTTAATTCTGTTATAATTTAAAATCCTTTATAAGCTCTTATTATTTTAAATCTTTAAATATACTCTCAAAATATTACCTAATAATAATAATAATAATAATAATAATCTTTGTTATTTAAATTATCCAAACAATGAATTTTAAATACATCAATTTGAAATCCAAATCCACCCAAACAAACACTACATGAGAACATTTAATATTCATTAGTCACAATTCTCATAAGTGTTCTGAGTGAGAGAGTGCATTCAATTTCCTCACAAATATTATGGGTCTATTTAAAATTATTTTTATTTTATTATTTTAAGAACTGGTATTTTGTAGAACATATTGTAAGAACAAAAAAAGTGTTTTTCTCATCCTCTCTTATTCTCTAGAACAATAATCCTATAATACTTAAAAGATGTTTTTATTTTTTTATTTTTCAGAATAATATTTTATTTTTTACTCTTCAAAATATTTTTTAAAAATAAATTACCAAATAGATTTTTTTAAAAAAATAAAAAATTATTTTTAAAACAAGTTGTCAAACTGGCCTATATGATTTTGGTGGTCAGAAATATTAATGTATATTTATAGTTAATTAGCTCATATTATTCCATGCCCGGAGGGCAAAGCTAGTGATTCTAACCAGTCAAATTATAATTATGATGGTCTTATTAATCCGAAGCAAGAGCAAACAATGATAACACGTGTTAATTTGTTACAACAATCAACAATGCGTGAATCCATTTGTGCGCTTCAGATAAACTTTGTAAGATATTCTCACAAATATTTCATTAACAATTACACACGCAATCATTGACAAAATTCCAGCAATTGATGAAGCAAGGATCTTAGATATTTCAACTTTAATTATTATTTATTGGAATTCAAAATGATTATGATCAGCGCATATGGTAAATTGACGCTCCAGCTTAGGGAAGGGAGTTTATATATAAATAAAAAGTCACAGACGAACCAAAATGTGTGGCGTAACTTCCCCTTTTCTTTTGTTTAATTTTTTATTGCTGCCACTCGTAACAGTGGAATTGGAAAATGGGCTGCCCTAACTTTAGTTGGAAGAATTACGTTAAAATTTTACATAAAAAAATTAATTACTGTTCATTAATTACTGAACTAAACTGCATTCACAATACAACCAGTTGTCAATACAGTTTAGTTTAATTGTCAATAAATTTTACAGTAATTAATTTTTTGCATGGGACCTGATTATAATTCTCTCTATCTTTTATTGGCTGAATTCTTATGGGCATAATTTATTAGATCAAGTTTAAAAGTTTTGTTTTCTTTAAAATATGTCTTTTTTTAGGGTTAAGGGATAACAAAGTTTTAGAAGTTTTCTAAAAAAGGGTGATGAGAATCATTTACCTTGAGAAAGAGCAATGTTGCCTTGTAAATATTAAAAGTGGGCTAACATCACCCTTTTTCCAACCTCAAACTAACATTGACTAATGGAATTTTGAGAAACTCACCACACTGGCAATCATGCTTCAGTCCACACTGGCAAGCATGAGAGGTTAAGATGTAATTTAGAGGAAATTGTAACTTTTGGCCCAAAGGTTTGAATAATTAAATTCAAACCTATAGTTTTTTTTAATATAATTTTAGGACTCACAATCCCATTTTTATATTATTTTTCTCTCTTCCTCTCACGTTGATCAGCGTTTTCTCGCAAGGGGAGATTATTTTCTTTTTCTTCAGGTATGTTCTAACTTTCCTGTTTAGATTAGCATTTAAAAATTTATTTAATTATAAAATTAATTTTATAATTATTTTCTAAATAATATTAGCTTTCTAGTGATATGATTATTTTGTAGGATAGAGTAAATATTTTGATTAGGATTTTTCTATAGGATAGTTAATCTGATGATATGATGGATTAAAAATATAGGTTAAAACTCTTAAGGATATAATAAATATTATAGAATATTTTCTTGAGGTTGAAACTCATGTTTAAGAATTTTTGAGTTAAAATCTAGATCTATATGGTTGAATTTATGTGCAATCTGAGATGTAGGGATAAACCTATGATTATTAAATATTTATTTAAGTATGAATAGGTATTTTTGAGGTTATAGAAAGGTGATTTGAGGCTTCAGGATAATTTTAAAATTTTTAATTTATTTTTGAATAAATTTTTAGAATATAGAAGGATGAAATTGTGATACTAGAAGTGATTTGAGGATAAAAAAATAGTTTATTAGGGTATGAGAATTTTAAAAAAGAATTTGGGAAGTTAAATGAGGCATAAATCTTAAATTAGTGTTAATATGGATTATAGATCTAAGACTTTCTAACTATTTAAATTAGAGTTATTTATTTTAATGTAAAATTAATATATAGTATTGTGAAATAATTATGTAGATTATATTGACAAAGATAGTGGTGAAAAAGGAGTTGTGAAGGGGAACTTGTTATTCAAGATACAAGGTAACCATTATTAATGTGTTGTGATGGGTGTGTTTGTGAATGGTTATGTGTTGTTTTGTTGTTTGGAAAAATTATGAATTATTGAAAATAAATACTGTTATATACTTCTGTGAAATCATTGCCAAGTGGGTTAAAAATTTTTTTTGTTTATCATGATGAGATATTATTGTTCGGATATATTTCTATTTGGATATTTGAATGATACATGACTTGTCAGGGTATTTTAATATATGGTGTTAATGGAAATTTCTGTTCGGTTAATTATTACCACGTGGTAAGCCCTCATTGGACCCAATGAGTGGCGTGTCGCTTGGTCCAACTCACCTTTGGCCGGGTGATTTGGCGTCTGAGCATGGCGAAAGGAGGATATAAGGTTCAGTCATGCAAATTAAACACTTGTTCGGTTTGTTTGAAAGTATTGTTCGGTTAAATGTTTTGTGTGTCCACTTAGCAATCACATGATTAGTTACATCCGCATGCATCATTACATATTAATTTCTGGTTACTAGGACTTTTAAGTCTCATTCCCCGTGGTTAATATTTTTATAGGAGCGAGTCCGGCCGAGAAAGCATCAGAGGTGTAACTATAGTGTATGAAACACCATCTTTTACGTTGCCTCTTATTTTGGATTATACAATATATCTTGTGCCAACTTAGGACATATCTTCTTTGTGAAGCATGTAAACTCTAATCCTTTTTATTAAAAGTATTTATTTGACCAAGAGGATTATGTTTGTCTCTCTTGATTCATGACCTAATTTAAATATCATGCCATGAGGATCCTGACTGTCCCTCATGGTTCTAATTGCTTTTTTGAGATATTTTAAGACCTGTGGTATATTGTCTTGGATGTATCATGGTAAGAAAATTTTCTACCATGATAATGGTTTTAATAATTTGCGAAAAATCGGTTTGTATTTTTGAAGGTGTTACAATTAGCTGGTATTAACAGCACTTGATTGCCCTTTGGGGCTATTTGACAATGATAAACATGATTAAATTTAAATTAAGGAGAAATTTATTAAGATTATGATTCAAATCTTATAATCCTTTATGATTATTTTTATATATTATCTTAATATAAATCTATCATATCTCCATTTGAGATTTTAAAATATATTTATTATTATCCAAGATAATATTTTTAACTAATGAAAAGCTTTACATACATGCATACATATTTTCTCTCCATCACCCATATCAAAGATAATTATTGTAATTCTCATTTTCTATATATTGAAATTTCTTACTCATTGCCTGTAGGTTTTTTGTCCCTCACAACATTGAGAGTTTTTTCATGTTAAATATTTTACATCATCTTTTATCATTTTCTCTATTATATAATTTTTAATTATTTTATCTTGTTTACTTTCACTTGCATGCTTATTCCTAACAATTGCAAGGCTTGTTTGGATTTCAATTACATATAATTGATTATAAAAATAATTAATTAATATAATTAATTTTAATTATAATTGATTATATTATAATGTAATTTGTTTAGATACTTTTTTTTAAATTAATTTTAGATGTGCAAATTATCATAAAAGACATTACTTTTCAAAATTAAATTATTGATAAAGTTATATTTCACATTATTAAATTTGTTAAATTTTATGTAAGAAGTAAAATATATTATTTAACGGTAATATTGAATCTATAAGCACAAGTTTTTTTGACTGTTTGGATAATTTTTGGTTAAAATTGATTATTTGGCTGAAAAAATTGACCTATGCAATCCAAACAGGCTGGCAATTGAGTTTTTTTTCGTAGGAAAGAAGGTTACTTATGAAGATTCTAAAGCTAGGAGATCTAGACTATCAGTACATAGTATGACCAAATCAGAATTAATCTCTCTGCGATTGTCTCTCTTCAATCTTGTCTCCTATTGTGCTTTCTGAAGTTTTAAATTTTTAGCCAGCTAATTAAGCTTTGATAAAAGTCAATTATTTGTCATTTTATGATTTATTATTTAAAAATTATTATTATTTCAATGCATTGCATAATCACCCCTCTCTATCCTATCTTTACGGTCAAATTACATGTATACGAATGAGTATTGCCAATCTTGATCGTAAAAGTTAACCAAAATGTCATATAGAATAAAGTAAAATTAAAGTTGAAAAGCCTATATATCAACTTTTGAAGATAGATTAAATTATACACCTACCTTACGTTGAAGCGCAGTTGCATCTCGAGTTTCATTAGACAACTACATACGTTAAACATTAAAGAGTTCAAATGCAAATTCTCCATAAACTTGGCTATCCATGGAATGAACCATCTGCTGCATTTGTACATTCATTTATTATGCAAACTCGACAAAGTTCACATGGTTCTATTCTGCTACATTAAATATCCTTTATTGGTCAAAATTAGTCAATGCACGAGTTCCTTTACTAATTTTTAACCTTAAATATTTGGCCGGGTAGTCCGAAAAGAACACTCCACCTGCGCGCGCGCACTGCATAAATAGCAATACCATTACCTATACCATCTGCTATACCTATATCGATCTTATATATACATGTGGCGGCTAGAGCTTGCTTCACTAAGTAGCTTATTGCTTTGCTTTTACCAATGGCCAACGTTTTCAGGAGCACCGGTTCAGTTCTAGGGGTCATGGACGACATGGCAAGGATGCCCTTTAATACAATACCACAAAAGTATATTCGCCCTGAACGAGAACCTCTAATTCAAACCCATCGTCACTCCATTCCTTTGCCAACCATTCCCGTATTTGACTGGAAAAGCTTCCTGGATCCTGCAAATGACAGAGACACTCAACTTCACAACTTGTTCTCAACCTGCAAGGACTGGGGTTTCTTTCAGGTTCTGTTAATCCGGTGATTCTTTCCCGTTTCTTTTCTGCAAGCAGTCTGCATGTTAACTTAATCATTTTCAAAATCTAAAATTACGCGTTCGGTGTCCAAGTCTGTCTTCCATTTTCCCTGGTCACTTCAAATTATTAGTTGATTCCGATCCACACAAAATAAAAGGATGGGTCATTATATTATTGATGACTGTCCATGGCCAGTCACCCATTTTGCAATATTCTTTTGTCGATGCATCTTACAGTCACTAAGGCACAGTGGATCTCTCAAGAGAGAGAAGTTTCCGTACATAAATTTGCAAGCCTCTTGATTGCTTCGAAGAGACGCCTTTCCCGTTATAAACGTTCAGGAACTGTGTGCCTGCTGTTTTGCATGTATGCAGGTGGTAAACCATGGAGTGAGCACTGAGCTCCTAGGGAAACTGAAGATCGAGATCGAGAAATTCTTCCAGCTCCCCAACGAAGAGAAGAAGAAGTACCAAATCAGACCAGGCGATGTTCAAGGTTATGGAACTGTCATCAGATGCAAAGATCAAAAGCTGGACTGGGGAGACAGATTCTACGCCGTGATCAACCCTCTTCGTAGAAGAAAACCATATCTGGTCCCAGAACTACCTCCGTCACTCAGGTCTGTCAGTTCAGCACAACATCTCCAACTCTACCTCAACACGTACACCTAATAAATATACATACATACATATATATATATATATATAAACAAGCACAGGGATACCCTGGAGACATACTTCAAGGAGGTGAGGAAACTTGCAATGGGACTTTTTGGACTACTGGCAGAAGCAATAAAGATAGAGATGAAGGAGATGGGGGAACTGTTCGAGGACGGGATGCAGTCGGTAAGGATGACATACTATCCTCCATGTCCAGAGCCAGAGTTAGTAGTAGGGCTCACACCACACTCAGACGCGACAGGGATAACGATACTTCATCAGGTGAATGGAGTGGAAGGTCTGGAGATAAAGAAAGATGGGGTTTGGATCCCAGTGAGGTTTCTGGCAGATGCCTTTGTAGTTAACGTTGGAGACATCATGGAGGTCTGTCATCGTGTCCGTCAATCTCTTTCCACTTCCTCGCTATAATTTTAAAAAATGAATTGCACGTGGTTTATTGCATCTGGCCACAGGTTTGATTTTTCTTGCTTTCAGTCCTCCACTTTTTTAATTTCCACGATCCCCACTTAATCCTGATTCTCAATCATGACCTCTCCTTGTTTCTTTCGAAAGCCATCAAGTTTCATTGAATATATTTCCCACAAGGCCACGACTTGCATGTTAAATATATAAAATATGAAGTGACCACTAATTCATATTTCTGAGTATTTCCCTACATAACAATTCAAGAGATTATTTCTTTCGAAAGCCATCAAGTTTCGTTGAATATATTTCCCACAAGGCCACGACTTACATGTTAAATATATAAAATATGAAGTGACACTAATTCATATTTCTGAGTATTTCCATACGTAACAATTCAAGAGATTAAGTTTATACTAATCATGCCGAGTTTTAATAACCGGCCCACCACGATAGAGCATTCCCCCCTATAGTTAATATATATACATATATATACACACACACGACAATATTGCACCTAGCTCAGATAGTTGAGTGAAGTTTGATTTTTTTTTTTTCATATAAAAAGTTTAACAAACAAAAGACAACATTTCCACCCATTTTCACATTTTTTTTAATCCAGTAAGTGTTCATATAAACAAGCCACCGAATAATAGCTCAGGTAATATGGAATCTGGCTGATGGGGAAAAAGGTAGTTTTCATCACTGGCTGAAAACAAGATATTCACGTATAGATACTCTAAGGAAGATAAACATCACCACTTCAACTATGAAGGCAGAAAAGAACCAAATGAAGCATGTTTCCTCCGCTGCTTGTATTTGTATCTGATTAATTTTGAACTACACTTTTTTAATATGGTTCATGACCTATCCTTGCTTATTCACCTAGCTAGCTATATGATTGTGATGATGATGATGCTCTTGGGTACGTGAATGTGCAGATTCTCAGCAACGGGGCATACAGCAGCATAGAGCACAGAGCAGCGGTGAACAAAGAAAAAGAGAGAATCTCCATTGCCATGTTTTTCAACCCCAAGTTTGAGGCCGAGATCGGGCCTTTCAAAAGCTTGATAACTCCCGAGAACCCGGCTCTGTTCAGGAGGATTCTAATGGAAGATTACTTCAAAGACTTCTTCTCCCAGAATCTAAACGGCAAGTCCCACTTGGAGAGGATGAAAATCAAAAGCGGAGAATAATCAAACACTTGATGATCGGTGCCCTCATTTTTAGGATGAAAGATTTAGCTTTAAATCTACTACATCTGATCTCTGCCACTTTATTGTAAAGCATTAATAATTTTAAGTTTGATGAGCGTATTTAGTGGGCCTTAATTTCCTAGTAAGGATGATAACCGTCTGCTGGCTAGTTGATGTTACGTCGGCGAAAGTGCATCCATTTGTTGAATTAATCACCTGATGAATGTAATTTCACTATTTGGGATCACATGCTTAATTATTTCTGATTGATGCTTTGTGGCGCCGCACTTTATTAATGAGTGCATTTCAAATGCTCTCTCTATTCTTATATATATAAGATATTTTTAATTAAATCATACAAACCAATACAAATTAATTATCTAATTAAAAGTATAATAATATTTTGCTTTTTCCCTTAATTATTATAAATAAAAAATGAATTTTTTTTACAGTAAATTAATGAGAGTATTTATTTATTTTTATTTAATAAAGATATAATGATTCATTCATTAAAAAAAATACTAATAACCCTTTAAATTTTGAGAGAAAAAAAGTTTAAAGGACTTCTTATATATAGAGATGGAGAGGGTATAGGAGAAGTTAACTATTAAGCGTGCTGGTTGTGACCTGTGGAGATCTCGTCCTTGATTAGTGATTACAGTAAAAGGCAATGAAATCCTGGCAAGCGAACCAAAGCATGAGAATCAGAACCCGAAAGAGAGAGAGAAAAGAAATCAATTATCCTTGTCCATCATCTTCTTGTTTTTCAGTGCAGTTCTGGTTTCTTGAGAGGGAGAGGATACGCTTGTCGAAGGAGCATCCAAGTTAACGCAGATTCTCACATAATTGTTGAGAATATCCTTCGTATTGGAAGAAATCAGTTTTTATTTTCCAGACCTGTACGGAAGCAAAAAAAACTACTATTTTAATATATTGATCATCATTATTCTAATATGAGTGTCTCTATCTCTATCTCTTTCTCCCCTCCTAGCTAATACTTTCACATATCCGTTACTCTCATGGTGCCCGCGCCTATTGTGGTTTTTGTCTGTTTTTCCTTTCTTCTTACTGTTACAGTCTTATTTCTTCATTCTTATTAATTACTCAGATTAGAATATATAAAACTCCCCTCAATTTTAAGGCAATCTCTCATAACCTCCCTCACTTTTAAAAATTTAGAAGCATCTTCCTTAAACTTTTTAATGTCTTGACACAAACAAAACTCCAACTGTTAATAACTCCGTTATTTTATTAACAGAATTTGCCATGTCATAGTAATGAAACACATGCACATGGCATTTGATAGGGAAAAATAATTTATTAATTTTTTCAACAGCTCACAATGGCTGAGGAATTTCAACAGTTGCTTCGAAGAGCTAAGCAATTTTTTATATGATCGGCGAGGAACTCCACTCGACGTTGATTGAAAGGGAGGGAAAAAAGCCCCAATGCTTGTGATACTATTTCAGATTGGATGAAGCAAATCACGATTTCAACCATTCTAAGCTATTAAAAAATATTAAATTTTTTTTTTAATCCATGATGCTATGTGTGTTTTATTAATCTAACATGGCAAACTATATTAATAAAATAATAGTTATTAGTAGTTGGGGGTTTTGTGCCAAAAAATAAAAATTTAAGAAGGTTAATTTTATTTTTAAAGATAAAGGAGGTTATTTGTAATTGTCTTAATGTTTAGAGAAATTATATATATTTTAGCCTAATTACTCCCAAGAACCATTATTATAAGGATCTACTGGTGACTTCATATAGATTAAGTAATTTGGTTAAATCATTAAATGCATTTTAAAATGTTAAAATTACTCTCCATGAAATCCATTAATTAAAAGATGTTTAGTTAGGTAAAAGTCGTTGTTTCTTACCAACTAGGTAAAAGTTGTTTAATTAGTTAAAAAAACATATAAAGCATTTAGGGGGAAAATTGTTGCATTAAACAAAGGAGTGAATGGAGTGCTTAGCTAAAATCGTGGCTTAACTGACATGGATAGTTGGAGCATGTCAAAAGCTGAGAGCATATTGTCAAAGGTTCAAACCCGAAACCCTATTGATCAACAAGCATCTATTCCACGTGGCAACCAGTAATAGGGTACCGCTTATTCCTAAATATCTCTCAGTTAACAGCTGCAGTGATCTCGTAAAAGTGAGGACATGACGGAGCGCCCACGCGGGAAAACCGTGAAACATCCGGAACCAATCCATTATTTTGTCACCTTTCTTGCCCCAGGAGATCCTTTACCCATACTTTATGATGGGAAATCATACTGTTCTTTTTCCGGCTCTGCTCACCGCGTGGCAGCGTAAGATATATCATACTAAGAAGACGACAGAGCCATTTATTCAACATCAACCTCAGTTGTCCTCACATCCCATTCCGGCATTCCCAGTATCGGAGGATTCGGTGATACCAACAAATATGGCATTTACCTTCTTTTTTACTCCAAAAACAAAAAATAAAAAACCCACCGCTCATCTTTTTAAAAATATTAACATATCAGAGACAGGTCCTACTAAAGCTTCTAACATGCTTACCATTATTGACTTGTTAGTCTATGATTAGCTCAATAAACCGAGCCTGTTCTGTGATCTATCCAAGTTATGCTTGGCCACACAAGCAGAAATCGTAATGCTTCCACCCAAACAAACTTCCAATTTCCCGGACCAGGAAACCCGGGGCAAGGCGGAATCATCGATAAGGTTACTCTGGGAAGCATAGCTTTGGGTGATCCAACATAACAACACTTTGCATGAGGTATGTAACATGACTTCCCCTACAATATGAATCCTGCTAATAAATCTCAGCTCCTACATAAAATTCTTACCATCACACGGGAAAAGCATATATACAGGTCGTTACATAGATGATGGAACGCAAACAATAAAACCCACAACATACACGGTCAGTAAAGCTATCCTATCTCAGATGACGCGACCACCTGTGAACTGTCCCTCCGAGCATCAATCAATGATTCCCACAAAGCTTGATCATGTTCTTCAAACCATAAACATCCATATATGTGTCCTCAATTGTCAGTGATCATCGCTTGCGTATATCTCCGTTTATTCCAAACACATAACTGTATACAATCCTTCTCATATTCACAAGGTTACGCTGGGCACGGCCAAGAAGATATATAGCAGGCGATCCCTGAACAAGCAAAAATAGTTTCGATATTAAATTTCACGTTTATCTTTGGATTCTCAAGGATTTCAAACAACGAAGGCCGAAGCCTGTAATACCTTCTGTTTTCTTAAGTTAACCCTGGGGAGGGGATCCAGGCTCTGAACCACAGAGAGATGCGTAAGACATTGTATCTTCTTTAGAGATAGCCACAAAGTTCAGAGGAGCAGTAGACAATCTTCTCATCTCAAAATATCCATTTTGGCGTCCAGAGTATGAACGGGGTGTAAGAATTTCAGATGATCCGCTTCCTACTGAGTTACGTCGAGGTGTAGGAGTCATTGATCCATTGCCATTGGACCGGTACCCATTTGTCTTCCTAAAGCTGTTACTTTTTCTTGGACTAGGCTTGGACCCATACATGGCTTCCTTCTGGTTATTGTGTAGATCTTGCAGCTTCTTTTGGTCCTACAAGATTCGAGATCATTCACAAAAATCAACTATATACTGGGGAATGACATATATTAAACACAAATGTCACATAAAATTTAAGGTAAACATAACTTTTGATTCCTGTACTTTACTCGCATTTTGCTTTTGGTCCCCATACTTTTTTTCCCTAATGTTTTAGGTCCCTACACTTTTATTTTCCATTATTTTTGATCCTTCTATGAGCAAAATATATGGACCTTGGAAAGACCCAAAATAATGAAAAACAAAAGTGTATGGACCTAAAACACTAAAAAAAAATTATACAAACCAAAAGCAAAACGCAACTAAAGTACAAGGATCAAAAGTTATGTTTACCTAGAATTTAATAATATGTCATTTATTATCATCTATGAGTGAGTTAAGTCAATCTAAAATACATCCCAACTCGCCAACTGATCACTATGTTCAGAGATCAATTTGTGGAAATGAACAAACGTTCATGTGAAACATCCAGTGTTCAACAATTAGTAACTTACCCTCGATCTTCTCTTTTCTTCTTCTTTCTGTTGTCTGGTCAACTTGTAATCCTCCAGTATAGACACCAATCGCACCTAAATATATTATCGACATTCATGTTCCTTATCATGAAAGAAGTACCACAGGGAAAATAATAATTATTTACATTTCAGGACTCACCCCATCATAAAGAAAATGCGCCTTCTTTTCATCTTCCCAGGCTAGAGTCTTGTAGATTAGATTGTCAACCATGGCTGGGAACAGAATACATAATTACCATTGCTCCAAAATATTGTCAACAGCAAATAGCCTAATGAAAGCTTACCTGGTATTTTGCTTACAGTCACTCTTGCTCGTTCTGCGCGTTTAAGATTAATGTGAGCGCCTCTTCCAGCATTGTACCGATTATCATCCTGAAATTCATTGACATCCTTAAGATAACAAGCTAGATGATCTGACAGTAGCTTTGCTTCATAAAGTGTATCATTCATTCATTAATAATATTTATTTGAACTGCAATACTTATAATGTATCATAAAATTTTAAAAAAATAAATGTGATTTGGCAGAGAGAGAAGGCAAACACAGAAGAAAGATGGCAAAAAAAAAAAAAAAAAAACTGACGGCCTAACTCCCAGCAATGCACTTGTAAGTTAAACAAAATGGAATTTCGGCTTACACGATTATAGTCTTCAAGCCAATTCTCCTCCTCACAGGCAGAAAGCCACTTATCTATCCTATCTGTTACTTCTTTTCTGCTCAAGGCCTCATCTTTTACCTTTGTAATCTGTTCTTCAATATTTGCTAATAGTTCAGAAGGATCAACTAGGCCTGTGAAAAACAAAAACAAAAAAAAAAACTTCAAAAAGGTCTATTCTTTTCAAATTAATGTGCAATAATCATGGGAGGAACCGAGAAACAAACCAGAATCTATTAATGCACTAGATTTCTCAGCAGCGGTGCTTGTATCAGGTTGAATATGAGTCAATCTACATATTTCTTCTAACTCCGACCTCCTTTTCAAAACAAGTTCCTTCATTCGGCTTGCTTTCAGTTTTGCTAGCCTCTCCACTTCTGCTGCTGCCTGTAAAATTGCATATCAATCTTGGTTCTCTACATCTAGGGATCAAATGCCAAAAATATGAATTAAAGGGAATGGAGAGAAGCATTGAAACCTTTTCT